TTAGTTATCTCTATGATATTTTTTGATATTATTCGTCGCATGTTGTTACATTGCTCTTAATAACACGACAAATCTTATCGGGAATAAATTCAAATGGTACAGAATAGAAGGAGACGTACGAATGACAATAAATTTTCTTTGATGGTTGAAATAGATTTATTTTTCTTTTCTACTTTTTTTTTCCTTCTTTATTTTCCTTAATGGATCTTCCGTGTTGTTTTTCTTTTCAGACAAACATGAACGGTGTTTTATACTAAAACGATACTTGACTCGTGGAACCGAACCTTCCGCGATATTTTTTTATCGTTATTTTATAGCGCATACGATGACGATCTACTTACATCTATACCTATATTATATGAGAAAAGCCGATCTTCATAAAATAAAATCATTTTCGACGAACAAGTTAGAACAAAGATAAGTCCAAATATTTGTCCTTCACTTATTTTTCAATGACGTCAATAAAAATACCGATTTCACGGTATGTTCTTTTCTCAACGCTTACTAATCGTATTATCATTTCATATTATCCTACGTCATAACGAGCAATTTTCTTTGATTGTCAAGTAATATATCCAACTTTGATTACTCTCTCCCCCTCTTTCTCTCTTTCTCTCTCTCCCTCTCTCTCTCTCTCTCTCTCGGTTTTTTTCTAAGGATGAATTTTTGAACACATGACGCGTTTCTTCAACCTACGATAAAATCCATAATAGTTACACATTCGCTATACAATCTGTTCGGTTAAGTTACATCGTATATCTTGACGTAAGAAAATACGTCAACGAAAGTTCAGAGTTTATCATCTCGAATCATTTCCATTGTTACAACAATAAAAGCCAAGGAATTTAGGACACTAAACGATATTCGTAAAAAAAAAAAAAAGACAAAAGGAACAAAAATAGGAGGAAAAGTATGCTTTTTTATAAAAAAAACATAACTTTTTTTTTTTAAATTTTGTATACGCACTGAGAAAAAAGAAAAAAGGCCGAGGAAGGTTAGGTTTTTTTTTCCTTTCGTTTCATCAACGAAAGGACAAAACATATCCGTATATTAAAAAGAGATAAGTTCGGAAAGCATTGGAATTTCAAAAGGGAAGCAAAAACCTGTTGTGTATAGATATAGCTGTATCTTGGAAGACGATCAATTCTCTCTGGAGTAACGCCGTCTTTTTTTTTCGAAATAAGACCTCTTCTTTTTAAAATATACAAGGGCAACCGTAGAAGGACTCTCTTCGAGGTAAAAAGAGGAAAGAAAACCAGAAAACCGACATTTGCCATCGATCGTCAATTTTCTACATTGCAAGATCTTGAAATGATTCTAAAAAGTTCAAGGTGTGTGCGTGACCTAGAAAAGAGATTCTGTCTCTTTCTCTCTCTCTCTCTATTTCTTTCTTTTTTCCTTTTTCCTTCTTTTCCTCTCGGAAAATTCAAAAATCACTCGTAGATATAAATCAGTGAAATAATAATGTTTATTTTTCTTTTAGTTTTTCCTCGGAAAAAAATTCTGCTATTGATATAATGTATCTCTTTTTTACACATTACCACAGAACAATACTCATGTACTGGTTAAATTAAATAGTACGAATAACAAGGATTAATTATAATAGAGTACGGTAGGTTTGCGTATCTCGTTATTATATTATAAGCATGGATAAGGATGTTAAGACTATTTTGGTGTGATGTTACGATGATTAGATTTTTTATAACATCGTTAATTCAAGACTGAAACAAACGATATCTCGTTTCCAGATGAAATCACAAAATACATACGACGAATTACCCTTAGAATTTTTTATAAACAATCTATCAAGTTTTCATTTATTTTTCATTTCCAATGATTTAATTATTAACTTTATCGTTTCCTCGCTCTGTTATATATCGATTTGATCGATTTTAATGATTTTTTTGACTGAAACGTGTACTTCGAAATAAGGAAATGCATTCGTAGCTTTTACCTTCCGTGTATCATTTTTTAGATAACAAATATTTAAATTAATCGATTTATGATTTTATAAAAATATTGTTGAATAGAAAACATCGTTCGTGTACACGAGAAATGTTTTTTCCGGAGACATTGAATTTGTTCGAATTTCTGTCTCACTGAACATGTTACAAGCTTCAAGTATGTTTTCATTTTCACCTTGTTTCCATGAAAAAGTAATGCATCCTCGGTTGAAACCAAACGCTATGCTAGCGTCATTTCCTTTCTACCGAAATGGTCCTCGCTTCCCATATCAAAATGTATTTCTATCCTTTTTTTCTTTAACGTGACCTACCGACGACATTTATCCCGCCGTCAGAAAAAATATCTGCTGACTGTTTCAAACGATAAATAATATTTAGAGAACGAACAGGAAATGATTAATTGCGTTAAACTTTTCACGAATACACAATTTTTTTTATTTTGTCATTCGAGATATACTTCCGAACCCATTGAATATTTAAATGGTCGAATTTCGTATTTCGCATGCAAAATATGTAGAAGATACAAAATCCAGGAAAAAAGAAAAGTGTACGTACTTTATATGCTACAACAGCAGTAGAACGAATCCATTATGATCAGCCTGTAGCATGCGGCTTTTGATTAATCCATCTCTTCTGTCGCAGTGAGAAATGTCTGTTATTGATCAGACGCAACACTATTCTTATTTTAATCTATTCTTTTATGGTCGATGTTCCCAGTTCACATTTTCACATTTTTCCTCGTAATAATATATCGATGCTTTTCCTTTTTCATAGGTTTTATTTTGCTTATTACATAATTTATCAACATATACATATGTATATATATATATATATATATATATATATATATATATCTTGAAGATTTTCAAAAAGCGATAAAAATTTGATGATTCAGGGAAAGTTTAATGTCTATGCATATAAAATTTCAAATACGATTCTTGTTCATTCACTATGGAATATTATAGTATGGATTTCTCACAGACTATGTTATCGTACCTATGTTATTCGTATGTTCTGTGTGAAATCTGCAAGAACAGCTTTATAACGAGAAGAGAAATTACTCTTGTGACGAAGTACCGTCTGTTACAAACGACTGCACATAATATTTCGCATATGAATGAGACGTGTAGCATTACCATTTCTATAGATGCGTTCTATTTGACATACAAAACTATTAATTTTATATCATTCGAATACATACAAATTTGAATATTGATCCACAATACTGGTCAGTCATAATAACGAATGGTTTAGTTTAAAAATTATTTATTAAATATGGGAAAACATTTTTACGTTAAAGAATTTTTCTTTTTATTGGACTGACTGTAGGAGCTAGACTCAAGTATCCAACCACTTGCATACAATATGCAAACACATCTCTCAAGTTATTTGTATACCTCGCTACACGAGCTGAATGTTCTTTTGTATGTATGTATGTAGGCAAAATCTAGATAATGACACGTGACTGCGTAGGTGTATGCGATATGATGATGTTAAATAAGATGCTTCATTCAATATATTACAATTCTACTGATTTTCCTATTGCATTCACATTTAGACACACATAACTTTGAATATTTCGTCGTAGTCTGAAAATTCTATTGTATCCTATTTATATCGTGAAAAATATTGAAGATGAAATATCGTAGAATTTTAAAAAGCATCTTTATTTTTCCGAATACCATAATTTATTGGTTTATTGAACGTTCGCATAAATTTATGATTACGTTTTCATCGACAACAATTCGTGTCAAATAAAATTTTTATTTTGTTCTTACCAATATCAATACATATATATATATATATATATATATATATATATATATATATATATAACACAATGACAATAATAGGAACGTTGCAAAAGAATCAATCTAATCTATTAATCCAGTTGTTTAAATATTAAAACAGGAAAAAGAAAGAATTAGAATAGAGAGATATGTAAATATAAAAGTAAACAAAATTTAGTTGGCGACGTTTTTCTTCGCCTACATATTCATAAAGGTATATTAAATTATTTTTTCCTGTCACTCAATTTTGTTTCAAACTTTCATTTTGATTAACTCCTTTATTTTTATACGTATGTATATTAAAACTTACAGTATAGCGTTATATGCAAATGTAAATCGATGAAAGAATAGATAAGAATATTGTTTTCACAATATTTCATTCCATTATCATACGATAGTAGTAAAGTATGAACGATCGAAAAAAGAAACATGAGGGAAAGGGAGAAAAAAAAAGACAGAGAGAGAGAGAGAGAGAGAGAGAGAGAGAGAGAGAGAGAGAGAGAGAGAGTAACTGCAGATTCGATTTTCGTTCACAAAGAAATTGATTTTGTTTGTGACAGGGAGCTTCACCTGATGAACTTCACTATATATCGAGACTTCTATTGTTTACTCCGTATAACACAGAAACAACATACGAGCTAAAAAATTATCTGTTCCGTAGAAGAAACAACCCAGTTTATCGATCGACGCTAAGTTCTATAGTGTTTTATTTTCTATTTAAAAATTAGACTTTTATTTTAATTGATCACTTTAGATATAATATTTAAAAAATAATCCATTTCTATTTCATTTTGTGGATATATATTTATTAATTATTAATTATTATTATTAAATTTTCTATTAACAGAAAACATTCAGTTCAGATATTAATATTACTTTTTTCTAAAGAAAAGAGAAAAGCATCAAGTCAGGTTGACAACAAACACGATATGAAATAACAGGCACCTACGCTAACTTTATCATTAGACAAAGGAGTAAAATGCAATTGTAATTTACGACTAAAAATAGAAAAAAGAGAACGCTGCAACAACCTATATGTAATGTATGTGTCACAACGAAAAACAAACGATACTAATCCGTATATTTTTAACAATAGAAACTCTCAGTATTATTTGTGATTAGAGACTTAGTCTAGGCGAGTCGAGGATGTTTACATGATGCATCGATTCGCCAGAAACGAGCAATTAACTATGCAGTATGATTAAGTGCTCGTGATAAACCATAATAACTGATAAACGCGATATTATCTCTTTAAATTTATGTTGTTACTTTGCCGACGCGTGAAAACAAGGTCGAAAATAGAAAAAGCTTCATTAAAATTTGTTAATTTTTTTTTTCAAATCGATGAATGCACATACACACACACACACATATATATATATATGTGCGAATAAAAATGTTAGTAGAATATAGTACCTAAATAAATCAAGGATATATTAGACGACAGAGAAACTCGAAATAATATAATAATATTATTTTGCATTATTAATTAATTATACTTACTAGAAAATCTACTGGATCTTCCGGTCGTAATTTTGCAACTTCTATAAGACCCTTTGTCAATGTTGGAAACACGTATCGAACTAAATAATGTCGAAGCGGTTGACCCATAATACAAAACTTTTCTTCTTCTTCTTCTTGCAATTTTTCTAACAATTCCGTCTGAAAGGTAATGAAATTATTATTAATAAATAATCAGCTAATGAAAAATTCTTCCTTTCCTATTAAATTACAATGATGAATTCTACCTGAGACAAAGTGAGACCGTTAAGATTAATTCGATCTCAAAAGTTATCGTCGCAGATGTTCTATCATTTCACGGGAGCAAACTTCTTAGTTTCAAAGTCTTGGGAGGTAAACGATAACGATAGGAGAAGGGAAGAAATTTACATCGGCTAGTGTCAACGATTAAAGCAACCGAGCTACGAAGTTTACGAAAATTCTTCGCAAGAGATGATCCTTCGGTTTTCGAAGGATAATCCAACAAAGAAGTCTCTTGGAGACAGACAAAAAGAAAATAACTTGCAAGAAGCAGATTAGAATAGCAAAAACGACGTCCTCCAAGTATATCTTTCTTCTGGTCCGATTTTCAAAATATCTCTTTCTCATAGCAATTTTCTTACTTATTACGTCCCTAAGAATAATTATCATAGTTTTCGAACTTCACATTGCATGAGCAGACAACATAATCCATGAAATTCACGTTCACTTAGACGGCTGAATTGAAAGGGATAAGACGATCAACTACATCATAAAATATAACGAACTCTTATCGATTAATTTTAATCCTTGAAAAAAGTAACTCGTCATAAAAATGACAGGTTATTCGGCCTTAGTCGATGATAATAATTTCAATGAGCTTAGGATGATGTTCAAATTAATTTTCTCATTCGTACTTTTGAAATCTCTATTTAAAATCATTTCCCTTTCTTCCTTGAGATTAATGTTAAATGCTCCGTCATGTAATTCGAGAGGATTATTAGTGCCGGTGGATTTAATAATATTTTAGTATTATGCGTTGGCACGAATATTGAACTGATTTAATCGATTACCATACAGGAATAAATGATACTTGTTGGACTTCATTAACCATGATAGAACGATAGCGATACAATGGAAATGGTTCATCGTCTATTTTACTGTTATGTTCGATAAGCAATGTGATAAATTAAATAAATCGATGCACGTATGGTTGAAGTATATATCTGATGTAACTACGAGTGTAAAAACGATTACCGAATATGACCAATATCGTTCGATTTTTAATCGATATGATATTGAACATGCAATGAAAATCAATTGTATTGTAATCAAAGCTGATCTACACATTTTAATATTATTGATATTAGATTTGAAGAAAAAATCTAAAAGATTTCACGAAAAAAAATTTATGACAGGTTCTTCTGTTAAAAAAAAAAAGAAAAAAGAAAAAAAACTGTTAATACTATTCCCTTGTAAAAGAAATAAAATATGGATAAAAATAAAACAAATTCTTTTTCTGCCTTGGATTGGTCCCGTAATCAAATAAACTCTTTCTGATTGTGCAAGAGGAAACAGCTTAATCTTACGAAAATCCGATTTTAATGATAAATACTAACCCACTCCATCATTTTTCTTTCACGTTCTTTCTTACGTTCTTCTAATTCTCGTTCCTCTCGTATTTTTGAAGCCGCCTCCTCAGCACTTCTTTTAGCGTCCGCACGTTTTTGTGCTTCGATCACTTCTGTTGGTGTTAAATCTTCGTAAAAAGAATTATTATACATACAAAAATCATAGAACGAACCATTTTCGTAATAATATTTTTCTCTTTCCTGCATTCTCAAACAAATTGTTTCCGTTGTAACATCATTATATGAATGTTAAAATAAAATAAATAAAAAAAAAAAAAAAGAAAAAGAAATAAAAACCATATCAATCCATTAGCACGGGAGCGTAGAAAAAGATTTGAAAAAAATCTTTTTGCGTAAAGTGCACAACGAGATATTAAAATCAAAGCGAGCGATCAAAGTGATATCGTGTTACGAAACATCGGAACAACGGTGTATGTGACGTTTCTCTGGTCTTTATAAACTATCATCTCCATTACGTAATGTGTACAATGATTGAGGATTGAAAGATTCTGTAACCCCATCGGATTGGGTTAATAAAAAAAGAGAAAAGAAAAAGAATTGAGTGAGACAGACTGACAAAGTTAAAGAGAGAAAAAAATAGATCCAATAAAAAAATTCTTTCTCTCTCTCTCTCTCTCTCTCTCTATCTATCTATCTTTCTCACCATAGTTTCTCGGTGCCCCGAGCTTCTTCAGACACTGATAAATTGTTGGGAACATGTCAGGACAAATATCATTTTCGATCGGAATAATCAACGGATGGATCTCTATTTCATCAAAGAATTGAAGAGGCGTATTATCTTCGGTATTCCTTTCTCTGGAATGTTGTTATTATTATTATTATTATTATTATTATTATTATTATTATTATTATTATTATTATTATTATTATTGTTGTTATTATTGTTATTGTTACGGATGATATCGATTAGAAAATGAATAAATTATAAGAATTTAATGATAGATGTTATGAAAGTAAAATGAAAGAAGAAATAAAAATGTTCAAAGATGATTAATTTGATATCTTCATTAGATACTCCAATTGTTATTAAAGTGAATAAATCGACGAATAATTCATAAAAACATTCTTTTAAATAACGGTATCGTTTTAACGGTAAATATCTTTTCAATATCAGAGCTACCTACGCATAGTATTATTTATTTCATGTCATTTTCAGTACGAAGAACATTTTATTAAATGTCTTTTAAATCTATAGATATAATCGATCTTTGAGCAATCAGGAATAGAGGAAAAAAGTCTCTAGCAAAGTCAAAATGTGTTCGTATCCACTTTAGGAATTGATGAAAAGAAAAATCAGATTTCTTATTTCGACTAAAAAATCAGAATTAGATGGATCGTTTTACCAATCCGGTACTAATCTAATTTTTCTTTTCTAGGAAGGAATAACATACTCGAATAATCGTTTTTACCTGTATTCTTTCAACCGTCGTATCATGTGTTTTTCCGTATAATGAGTACCTTGGATTTCTCTTTCGGGTAGATTTATAATTCGTTCTATTAAAAAATTATCACTCGCTTCCAAAACGACAACAAGTTCCGGCATGATGGAAGCTTTTAAATTGATATCCTCGAATGTTTCCCTATCTTCCTCCTCCTCCTCCTCCTCCTTCCCTTCCTCCTCCTCTTCCTCATCCTTCTCTTCCACTTCCTCTACCATTTCTTCCGCATGTTCAAATAGTATTTTAGCCTGTTCATAAGTCTTTGGATATCCATCTACAACGTATCCTTGATTCAAGCAATCCTTCGACCAAAGTCTCTTCAGAAACAACCTTTAATTACGCTTTTGCTTAATTTTTTACAAGAACTTTAAAGAAATTGAAGTAGAGAGAGAGAAAGAGAGAGAGAGAAAGAAATCTCTATTTCTTCTCGTAAAGTTAAATTTTTACCACTGTTCTTCCTTTTCATGTACTTTACTTCGCGATAATCAACACCACGTATTTCAATAATTCTATAGTAATTTAGGGAAGCAACATACGGAATCGGAAATGAAACGAGTAACGAAGCAAATAATAGCTGACTTGTTCAAGATAACATCATTAAGAACTCCATCATTTTGAGATAAATTATTTCGTATTTCGTCCAGCTGTTGCTGTAATTCTTCCAACGTGACACGCTTTTCTTCATTATCATCCTCCTCCTCAATATCCAATCCACTCGGTTTTTCCGTTTCTCTTTTTTCATCCTCCTTTTCTATCGTAGCTGTTTTCTTTTTGATTTCTTCGGACTGATAAATGTGAAAATTATCTTTGTGTTACGTTCAATAAGTAATTTTATGTACAGAAAAAAAAAAAGAAAATAGAAATTAATTGAACATATTAGAAGATTGTTATTAATAATTTACCAATTTTTTAATGGTATCATTGATCAAATTCTCCACGTTAATATAATGCAAACGATAATGCTCGACAAGATAGCGAGCCACTCGTGTTTTCCCGGAGGCTGGCGGCCCAAGGACAATTATTCTTATCGGTTGAAGTTCTCTCCACGCTTTATATTCTTTTATGATAGCTCTGATATTGTCTATAAATGGCGTGTCGAAATGCCAGCGTATCCTCTCGTAAACGTAAACGGGATCGATATTTAAATCAACCGTCATTAAATCATAAATTCGTTGATTGATTTCTGGATATAGGAAGGACTCTTCCAAACCGATATACTTCACCTCTCCAGTCGTTAGTTCCTTGCTGATTTTCTACAAACAATATTTGTATAAAATAGAGATTTTTATCGTATTCTGTTTATATATTTATATATATATATATATATATATATATATATATAAATTTATTAACTCGATTGAATAATTATTTCAGATATTTTTACAGGTAAAAATCATCGATTATTTTCTTTTTCTTCTATTTTTTTTTCTTATCAACTAAAACAAACGAATCAACAAAATGATTAATTACTTTGACAATAGTACTCTGAGAAGCGATTCCTTGTTCAACAGCTAAGATATATCTTATAGTCGGCCAATTTTTTATAACATTAGATACTATTCTGTAATATATACGTATAATTGTAAATAAAAAAAATTTGTAAAATTATTTGATATCATTGATACTCACGAAATTAAGTCGCGAATATGAAGAAGAGGGATCCTGTTTTTACCATCGCCGATAATTGGCAGAAAGGGCTCGTTCAGCCAAGCCATTTTAAAGAGATAATGAAGCTCGTTTTGCTCTTCTCCATAAGTAATTCCACAACAAATTACTAGAGTCTTTAACTTTCTTTTCAACTTGACATTTTTCTTAACGATAACAACGTCTCTCTCGCATCGTAGGTGTTCCTTAAAATTCGGATGAGCTCGTCGCTTTCTGTAATCCACTTCTGTGAACGGCAAATCCGGATCTTCCGGATCCAATGGCTTCGTAAAGGCCCATGTCATTATCGTTGAAATCAGGATAAAATATCGAAGTATCTTCGCTTTCTCCTTCGTTTTATTCCTTTTACTTCTTTTATTCTCCTTGTTAAAAATTTTCGTCGCCGTATCGTCATCAAAACTTTCTAATATTTCCTGGATGGCTTAAAAATAGATGGAGAAGAGAAGAGAGAAATAAAGAATATTGTAAGATAGTTTTAAAGGGAACGTAGTTTGAGTACGTGAGCGGAAATTCGATTCTAACTGATTAACAGATAGAGACTTTTCTATATCTTGTGGATAAATAGATTGAGGTGATAGTTAGACCTACTTTGTGAAGAAAATGAAAGAAACGATTTCATGATACATTTTTTAATCATAAGAGCATCTAGAAAATTTCAAAATACCGTTTTGTTAAAGAGAACTTTTAGAAACAATTATAATTTCTTACTACAATCGTACGAGATCCTATTTCCAAGGAAACTTTTAAACAAATGTCTGTTTTAGTTTCGATACGTTATTGTCATCGTGAACGATTGATATTATCAACATTTCAATCGGAAAGTTTTTCACATTAAAAAAAAAAAATGTTATTGAAAGTAATATTCAATAATGTTTTCCTCCGTGATATTACTTTCTATGTGTTTTATAAAAGAATTCAATCTATCTTTTTGACTTTCCCTTGAATTCGATTTAATGTATTCACCGACAATTTTTCACGACATCGACTCGTTATCGAATATTGATTTATATTAAGAATAAAAAGTAAACGATAGCCAATTCTTTTGTAAATCGCATTGATTCTGAAAAAAAGTTCGTATTTTTATTGAAATTCTGTTCGATTGGATTCGAAAATTGAAATTAGTTTTCTTTCGTTTTTTTTTTTTTTCGTTATCAATAAGTTTAGAAGTATAATTTAAAAAAGAGATAAAGAATTTCGAATTTCACTAGGAAATATTTTGGAGATTGCAATGGGAATTGCATTTCTATGCATTTCGCTAACAATATCTTTCCCTTTAAATCAGTTTATGATTGTAATAATGCAATAATATGTCTCATGTGTATACTAAGATTTCTTTTTAATTCTTTAAACTTTATTAAAATTTTTATTTTCCTCGGAGTTAATCAGGTTTTTTACTTCACTCTACTTCACTCTAAAAGAAAAAAAGAAAAAAAAAAAAGAAAAAAGAAAGAAAAAAGAAAATGAAAAAAACAAGAAAAAAAAAAGAAAAAAAAAGTTCTCACTTCCTTGCAAAGAAGCAGGCCAATTCTTTTTATAGAGATCTTACTTAATTCCTCAGTTTTAGGTATGACCGCTGGGAAATTCTTGTTTGAGAAACATAATAAATGTGCGAACCTTCTAATACCCAAGAAGCTTCCCCAACCTGACTTCGATCTTGTGTAATGTCGTAAATAATAACTCCGCATTTCATTAACTCTGACAATAGATCTTTACGATCGTCTGTATCTCTGATAATTCTCGTTACTTCTTCGGGGTAAGGATACTAAAGATAATGGAAATAAGGGTATCAGACATAGGATTTGAATTGGCACGAAAATATTCGATTATATCAAAAGCTCGAATGCTATTCAAAAATAATGAGGAATAATTTAAATAATCTCTTGTCTCATCTTAAAGCTCGATGTTTTCATTCTGATTTCAATCGATTTAATATATTGTATATTTTATTGGATGAATCATGTTACATTTCATCCTTCAAAAAAAGATTCTTTCTTTCTTTATCAGATTTATCGAACCTTACGATTTTATTCTATCTCGTTGAATGAAAAGAAAATAAAAACGCTATATATTAACATATTTCTTCAGGAAGATTAGAAACGACCTAAACTTTATAGTAAGGTTATTTTAAAGATCTGTGAATTATAAAAACGAAAAAAAAAAAAAGACAAAAAAGATAGTAAGTCTCTTTAAAGACGATCGATAAAAATATCTTGGGAAAAGAATACTCGAGATATACTTTTTTATTCCTATAATTATGTTCAAATTTTTCAAAAACTACGTTACGTTATTAAAACTCTTCTCAAATATATAAAAAAAAATATATATATATATTTCTAGTAATTTCATCGAAACTTTTACGAAATTATTTTGTTAGATTGTTTCAGATACAAAAAAAAAAAAAACAAAAAAAAGAACAAACCATTATTAATATCGAATATCGAGTGAATTTCAAATGTATCTTTATCAATTAGAAATTGTAAACAAATTAAACAAACAAATTCTTGTTTTTTTTTTTTTTTTTTTGGAATTTTTTATTTCACATGGTACACCATGTCAGACGACATTAAGGTGTTGATCAGACTAAAAGGAGATCGAAGGGTTCTCATACCTTATACTCCAGAAGCGTACCAATCACTTCGTATTTTCTCGAAGGTTCCTGTTCGGACTCCGTGACCTTTTTTTCTCTTTCCTCGTCGCTCACGTGCGCCTCGCCCATGGCCTCGCCCTCTTTTACTTCGTCCTCTATCTTCCCCTCTTCAACCTCTTCCTCATCTTCTAGTTCATCCTCTGTGGTCTCCACCGCTCCTCCACCCATTTGCGGATTAACGTAGTACAGGTCTGACAATGTCTAAAAATTTAACTTACTCTATCCTCCCCTTTTAACATGGTATATATATATTTTTTTTCAGACTTTACGAGCGTGACCCTTGATATCGAAAGCTGAATCTATTCTGGATTTTTTTAAGTTTGGGAAAATTAGAGTGAAAGAGAGAGAGAGAGAGAGAGAGAGAGAGAGAGAGAGAGAGAGAACAATATTTCTTACATTTTTCGAAAACACTTCTTAAATTATTTTTTTTTAGTCGACATCTTCAAAGATAGAACATTACAAAAATTACATTAAATGAACGTAACATTCGAATCGTATCTAAATTTTTATGTCTAACTTGAATACACCATTTGTTGATGTAAACTATCCTTAAGATACAACAGACATATCGATTGTGAACGAAAAAATTTCATTATATACTATCATAATTACAAAAGAAAATTCGAATTTTATTAATAATTGTATTAATAATACTCTTTGATGCATTGCAATAATACAATAAATTCTTTAAAATAATAGAGAGAAAGAGAAAGAGAGAGAGAGAGAGTAGTATAAGATCCATTCTTCATGGTAATTAAAGATATGTTAAGAAAAGAGAGCAAAAGGAAGTTTTCATATTCAAGAAATAGAATTCTGGGAGAAAACATTTAATCAATGAAAAGTTCTCTACGTCCTCTTAGAGTCCTCTTATATTATACATTGTCAAGCCTTTGAAAGCTTTTGAAGCAATTTCGGAATTCCTGTTCAAAACTCTAGACGATATATCTCGTCAGTGCAAAGCGAGAAAATGATACGGTGTACAGTGAAACAATATGCTTTCGTGAGTTCCTTTACGTATATACATTTCTGTATACGTAAGTATATATTCTCATAAACCACGTAAATCACAATCAGTTATGTTGCTTTGCGTTCGAGTTTCTCTTTGTTCTTTGGAAGAAGAAAAATAATTAGCACCGTTCGTTAGTGTCAAATGTCACGAACGATTGCTGCCAGCTGTGGTAAGACAAAGACCAAGGAAGGAATACCGACCAGCCAGTATTTAAAATAATGGTTTTAGGAGGGGACTGTCAACCAATTAAAACAACGTATAGAATACGTTTTAAAAGAAGAAACAATCGGTTTTCATTAATGAGATAGATTTTTTTACAGAAAAGGTTTTTTTATGGCATGTGACGAAAGGTTTTAATAAATCTAATAAGTTATATTTACGTATTTTCAAGTAATTATATCAGAAAAATGAAGTTTCAAAATTTTCCAAATAAATTATTCGTTCTTTACGAAATTAGATTATTTTATTTTTCATTCGTCGAACTTCATTAGTTTTAATTGAGAATAGTTTTGAATTGAGATTTCATGCATATTAAATAAGATCAATGTCTTCTTGACTTCAAACTGATATTATGCTTATATTGCAATTAATATAAAATTTCAACATTCTATTAGTGATTAATATATCGGAAGTTCAATCTTGAAATTGAAGCCACGAACGATATCACGTAATATCCAATTGTAACATAAATTCGTATATACATAGATCGAATGCTTCTTAGTATCGAGTTAATTTAACTTATGTTATTACATAAAATATTACTCTTTATTTGATATAATGTAAAACTTACGGAAGCTAATTTCTTGCCATGATAAGTATCAACATGATTGATAAAGATTCGCCAAGGAAAAAAATCTTGATCTTCCTGATTATTTACAGTATCATCGTTTATCTTTATATTTTCCGACATATTTACAGTATCATCGTTTATTTTTATGTCTCCCGACATATTTAACAATACTTTTTTTGTTTTATTTTCTTGTCACATCCGAAGATATCTTCTAATTCTTTTTTCCTAACCAAGTTTCTATAACAAAAAAGGAAAAAAACAAAATAAACGGAGTAATTTAAATCGTTTCCGATACGTTACTTCAGTTCAGAGGTGCTTCGAGTTACAAAGATTCGAGGGAAAAAAAAAAAGAAACGGAACGAACATAGCCTTGTCACATCGCGTTACCATAGAGCGTTATACACAGTAAAGAAAAAAACGTAAATGATCTTAATAAAAATATTGAATGCAAATAAGCTTCATGCTAAAATAATATATCATATTGTAGAAAAGCTGTCAGATAAAGATAAAAAAAATCAATTCAATTTCAATCGTTAGAATTGTAACTACAAAAATGTAATTTTCGTTCGATTTTATAGAAAAAATGCAGAAAGATCGTAATCATTCATTTGGCCTTCGCAAAATATTCTTCCCATAATCTACTGCTTAGAAAATTATCAAGATGCCTTTATAAACAATAATAAAAACTATTTATCACGATCAAAGGACGATATCTCTCAGCTTCTTTTTCTTTTATGGTAAATTTTATTAAAGCAGTCTGTTCAAACTTATAATTGGCGATGCATGTAATAGATATTCATTATGTAATTCAAATTGAGAGAGAGAGAGAGAGAGAGAAAGAGGAGAAGAGTAAAACAATTGATGGTTCTTGTTGCATGCAACATTAGATAGTAAACTTTAGAGCTTGTAATTTCATAGAAGGAAGGGATAAATAGGGATAGACAGGTACAGAGGAGGATAGATAGAGATGGAAGGATGAAATTGAAGTAACTTCAATTGAATCGGATACACACAGAATTCTAAGCTACTATAGTCCTTTGTTGAATCGTAAAGCGATCGCATTTCTCTCTCTGTATAATTCAATGTATGATTACTGATTGTAAAAAATGAATTTTTGCGATGGAATGTATCTTTTTCTCTCTTTGTCTTTTGCTAATCATCATTTGGACATTACAACAGAGAGAAAAAGAAAGAGAGAGAAAAACAGAGAAGGATAAAACAAATGAAAATGATAAAAAGGACAGAAAGGATTGAGAGAGAGTCGTAGGGTCAGGGTCGCGGTTACTTTGCAATGTGACGCAAACAGTGCTCCTCATTCTATCTCTGTCTGCATCTATTTCACCAGCGCAACAGCTATACGCGCATGGAATCGATTTTGGCTTACGACTATTGGCGCTTGACTTTCGGTGGACGCGCGACGTTGAACCTCACCGAAGGACGGTAGATCCATGCGAAAGATGTATGCATACTTGTTTATATGCATGGCTCTAAAACACATAATGATCTTAACAATCTAATATAACGCAAATTTAATGCATATGTTCCATACTATAACGATACCATTATCTGTTCTCTCGTTGATCATTATCTTTCTGTCTTATCGTCTGACGAGAAAGTCAGACGGACTTTCTCAAAGTAGATGGAAGGAGATCAAAGAAGATGGAAACAAGCTATTTATAGAAAAATTTTTAATTAAGGAAGATATTATAATGTTTGTTTATTGGAAGAAAAAAATTTATTTATTGACCGTCAATTCTCTATACTATTTAAAATATCACTATTGATTAATGTTCATGAGAAAACTTTTGACGTATCATGATTTAAATATTCGGAAACTTTAAAAAATAAAATAAAAATAAATTCAGTTTAAAAGAAACTGTTATAGTGTTTCAATTAATAAAATAGAGTGGCTAATTCTTAACGTGTATTTTACGAATATTGATAATCGAATCGAATGAATGACACGTCGCTGGTGATTAATTTGAAAGATTAAACTGTACCAATGTGAAACTCCATTTTTAAAGCGAACGACATAAAGCTTTTTCTACTTGTATTTCACGTATTCCTAAAGGTTACTTTTCTTTTCTTCCTTTAATTTTCTCAATTTTACTTTCTTTCATGACTTCAACCACTCTGATGTAATTAACTGACACCTTTTTTCGTGCTCACCACTTCGAATTAGCGAACGCGAACAATCGACCCTTTAAAATCTTCTCTCGGCTTCGTTTATATACGAATTTGTGGGACTCACGTTATGCGAGAACATTGAATGCGCAGGGAAGAATGGAATTAAATTACGCTCGCCGTAAATGGAATAGTCTGTGTACATACGTTAATATGTGTCAAGCTTTTCACCGAATTATTTAGCAAGCCATCTCGCTTACGGTGTTAGATATGCTTTTAGGTCGAATACAACTTTGATCATTCTCCTGAGTCATTCTTCGTGAATTTTTCTTTATTAAAAAAAAACATTTTGAATTAATAGGAAAAATTGATGGACCTATTTGAATTTTATAATGAAGTATAATATCAGTATAATTTTATAGCTGTTATAACGAAATTATAATAAATTTTCTAATATCTTTTATCTTTAAGTTATGTTTCTCTTAAAAATATTGAAAAAAAGGAAATACTTTAAAAAAAAAAAATGAAGAGCGTAAACCTATTAATATTACACGTCACTGTCTTACTAATCTTTGAAATTCTTCATATCTCAAGGAAGGTCGTTAAAATTTCATGTTTTCCATACGAGTATTGATCGATCATGTCACGCAATATTTCAAGTTTGTGCTTTCATTGTTCGCAAGAGAGAAATAATCCACCCATGTATAAGGAAAAAAAATCTATCAAGAGCGAGTCAATACTCCAACGTTTTGACAGATTGATTACAGAACATTTGGAGATGCGAAAGTAATTATTCATTAATTAAATAGTATTACAGAATAAATCTAATTATATATAACTATGTATTTTTATAACATAACGATTGATATCGCTCGAAAAAAAAAAAGATTGAATTATGAATACAATTTATCGATTTATTTTTACTTCATTAAGGTTAACCGTTGCTTATGTTTATTTATTTATTTTTTTTTTATAGCTTTAACATTTTAAATCTTTAAATTCTCAATAAATAAAATGTACCTTTCATTATTATTTATATCACATTAAATAAAATAAAAAATCAATGAAAAAATAGAAGCAATGCACCTGGTATTCAACAACCACCTGACTCGTTTGCGAAAATTCTGACAACAAGCGTTAGCAAAGTCGACATCGTGGAAGAGTTGAACATTCCAGGTGATAACGAGCTGATCGAAGCTGCAGAATATTTGATAAGAGCTGAGGAGGACGCAAGATTTGCTGAAAAATTAGCAGCTATAGAAACTGCAATTGCTGCAGTACCACCGGAAATGGCTGAGGAAGCAGCACTCGCCGCTAGTAAAAGTTATCAGACAGAAAAAATTAGCATGATTAAAGAAAAGATACCAGGTGAAACAGTGATAGAAGTACTCGGTTATGTTGGAGTTACTAAACCGAAAGAAGGAGATTCGTTTCATATCTGTTAATGAATTAATTTATCGATTGAACTTTCATTATCTTTTATTTTTATTAATTTTTTTCATTCTTTCTTTTAAATAATACATAACGTTTTAATTAATTTCTTTATTTTTACATTATATATTCGATATTCGTTAATAAAGATGAATACACGTATATAACTGCACGATGGTTACTCTTGAGAAGTATTTGTATACTTAATTAGATATTCTAAGATTTGTTTGAGAATCATCAAATAATTTATCTTTCACGTTTTTCATCGTTTTTTATTTACCATTGTAGATCATACGATAGCTTAAAAAATAAATGAAACCTTGATCTTAACCGCAATGATGTATAAACTTTTATTAAAGTTTCTTAATTAAATTCACCATTTTGTTATAGACCTTTTGGTTGACAAATATCCTTCTCTGATATCTCTCCTTTTTCTCCTTTTTCTCAGAACAATTTTGGATAGTAGGAGAAAAAAAAAGAGAAGAAAAGATACGCTTTGTCAAGTAATACTTATTTTTCATTTATGAAGATTAACGAATGATTAATGATTCGGAAGAATAAACGGAAAATTTTCCGAGTTGAGTTTCTCGCTCGGAATAAACGAGAGAAAGCTTTCGTAATTTTAGCAAAAGGGCTAATAACATTTCAAAGGGTAGATATTTATCTTTTATCCAGTAAAAAAGAAAGAGTGACTTGGTTTTTCTTTTAAAACTTGCGACCGCAAGCTAAGGATACGTGATGCACTATCGTCCCTTTCTCTTTCACGTAGGACGAGGAAGCACAATAATGCCCACTGCATATTTTCTGCATTCTTTTCTCCTCCTTTTTTTTTCTTCTTCTCATTCTCTTTCCTCGTCCTGTTAAACGAAATAGCTAGGAGCGATAGACAAGATTTTTTACCGTTGAAAACTAGTACAAGTCAACGATTTATTTCTCGTATTATTACTTGCTTGTGCAATACACGCCAAATACCTTTCACTATTCTTCAATACGCTCGACGAAAGAATTTTCTCAAGAATTTGCCACTTTTAAACTTATATTAAATCGTTACTGGTATGATCTTATTTTCTTTCGTAGAATAACGATTTAATACATTTAAAAATTTTCTCATGATATCGTTCTATATTTTATAATAAAAATATAAAATAATTCAAAACAGGTTAATTTGTTTTTTCGAATTTCAATAATATTTGTAATAATTATTTAATTTAACAATTATGTACAATAGGGTTATAATATTATATTATATTATGCTCGTCTTAAGACAGCGCGAGTGGTATTGTCACTATACTATAATGGAAAGTATCTATACGATGTGTACCTGCTACATGAGCAGCAGGTTGCGTAAGTAAGCGAACGTTCTATCCTGTGGATTACTATGATGGGAGTCGAAGTAGGAGTTTAAACCCACGAGTTTTCCAACTATCGACCCAACGCCTTGCGATTTTCTCACGTCAAGATATCTTCTATAATAGTTTACTCTTCGATAGTTCTTTGTCTTTTCTCATTAATATGTCCATAACATTAAGTACACTTCTTCGTTAATTCAAATCACCGCGCTTTATTAATGCCACCAGATAATATAGATTTCAAAAATTATTCATTAAAAATTTTATTGCATAAAGTGTAAAGATATGTACGCTGAGTTTTTAAATCTAAATATCTCGAAAATAACAAATTTCTGAAAAACAATTTTACATTAATATAAATATGAACGGCAAATAATATATAAATATATATATATATATATATATATATATATATATATGTATATACATACATACAGATGTGTGTGTATAACTTTAAAAATGTATAATATATCATTACTGTATATGGTTCATACGAATCGATGAATTCATGAATTTTTCTATTAATGCGATGAACCGTCCGTTTATTTCGTACATAATATTTGATTATTACGTTCAATCAAATAAATTACATTCATTAATTATAACCTACTCAATTATACTTTAATCATATATAATTAAATTAACGATTGAAACATATAATTATATAAATTTGATCAATTGATTTTTTTTAATATTCATTGAATTTATTCGAAAATTTGAATGTATTTATGTATAATATTTTAATGAATCTTGTTTATCTCTTCCGTTAAAAAAATTTTATTATATTGTTTTTTATCATACAATCGTTCATAGATATTATTTAAACATTGCGATAGAAAATTATTTTATTTCTCACAGAAGAGTGGAGTGAGAGCTTTCCATATCAACTACTGATAGGAACTGGAGTTGCCTTGATGGCTCTAGTACTTTTAGCTGCAATTAGCTTCCAATGCTCTTCTACTTGGCGATGGTTGATGAGTGTCGCTCGCCACGAAAACGACGAAGATGCGAATGGTGATTTGTCTCAGCAAAATGCCATTCGTATAAGTCACTCCTTGCCGGATTTACAATCGGAACCAATTACTCATGAATATGTTCAAGAACAAAAGGACAGTAAGAAGGTATCGAAAATTTTCGAAACGTATAAATGGAAAATATTAGATTATGATTATGAAAACAAATTTTCTTATCTTTCACCTTACTTGTATTACGAATAATCAAAAATTCCTATTCCAATGTTTTCTTTGCAATCAATAATATGATATAATAATATAATATAAATAGATATGGGCTTGAAAATTTTTTAGTTAAAATATTTCTTATGCATACAATAGGTGTTGCGTCAAACCACTTTGCCAATTGTTCCAATGCGCCATCAAAGTTTTCAACGGCAACTGTCCCACCGTCTCGACTTGCCCAGTATCAAATTCAGTATTTGCAGTCTGGAAAATCGTAGCGATTCTAGTCTCGGCCTTATCAAGGTAAGTTCGTGCTACAAATAACTTGAAAATGTTAAACTATAAAGGGAACCACGGGTATAGTTGAAATGATACAAGTGCATTCTACGACTTCATCATGTTGTTAGAGCATATACTACTTATATCACTTGTTTTCCGATAATTATTTCTCTTGATAAAAATGAATCGAATCAATCGATTCGTTTTAACAAACATCCATTACGTAAGAAATTTATATCACCAATGAAGCTTCACTCTCATGAGTTCTCTCATTTCTCGTTTAATGTAACAGGAAATGTTTTACAAAGTAACATTGGTAAAGTTTTGTTTCAAATGATGTCATCATTGATGTTATAGCCGGAACTCTACAAAAAGGATCTCGTAAGACAGGAAAGCACGGAGAGTTCTAGCACTACAGAAATGGAATACGCCGGAAAGCTACACTTCGCTCTTCGTTACGACAAGGAGATCGACGGTCTCGTCGTTAAGGTAAGTTCTACGGTTTCACGGATAACCTTACAGACGTTAGTGATAGAGCTTTTCAAGAATTTCATTGTCGCGTTAAAATAAGTCAAAATTAGATACGGTTTCCATAAATTTATAGATTTTCAAACAATTACATATTTTTCTCATTTATTTATGAAATAAATAAAAATCGGAATATTACGAAATACTGTGAAATAATTAATCAAAGACAATAAATTTAAAAGAAATGATAATTAATAAACGTAATCATCGTTATGTAATAAAAATAAATGATGTATTGGTATATTTGAATTTTTAAATAATTTAAATCCTCGATGAGAAATATTTAAATGAGATTCATACGTGAAGGCGGTGACCGACATATCTTCTTCGGTTTCATTCTTAATTCGTTAGAAAATTGTGTCACCGTTCATTCATGATGTGACACGCACGCAAACCTCCAAGGAGAATTAATGCTTCGTGTAGCTCGATTTGTTGCAATAGAGAAGAAAAAAGAATTCCTGTAAAGGACGCGACAATACGTGAAAGGAGGACACGAGAACTATCCCAGTACTTTGTTTGAATCAAACTATTCGTTTACTAGTTAGAATCATAGAAAATGTTAAAGTGTACCTCTAACATCCCTCGTCTCACTTGATTACATTTAACATTCTATACTTATTATAGATATAATTAGTTCCTTCCGTACTGCTTGTATCAAATTTAACTTCTACCTTCAGATATCTCGAAAATCTCGATTAGATCATTCGAAATACTTCGATCGTTACTACTCGAATTAAATTCAACAAATTAGAATAATTTAAAATTGAAATGAAAATAAAGTCGTACTTACGTGTTATTACAAATTAGTTTCGAAAGTATTTTAACAAAAACAAGATAAAATTTTGCCGACGAAATTATCACTATGAATGACTAAGTAGGCTAAGTTTAATTAACCGGTGATCATTAAATACCAATGGATACACGTGAGTAAACCTGGTAAAGCTAATGAGCTAACTAAATGCGATTTATTTACGTTAAATTACGCGCGTCCTTTTAAAGTGGTCTTCATTATCGAGTACATTGAGTAACGCACATGTTCATTAGAAATTATTGGACATGGAGAGAGAAACAAAGATACAGAGATAACGAGAGAGAAAGAGAGAGAGAGAGAGAGAGAGAGAGAGAGAGAAAAAGAAAGAAAGAGAGAGAGAGAGAGAAAGGAATATGCCCGTTACGATCACATTCGATCTTTCAGAAATAGCCGAGACACGTGGCATGTTGAAACCGAGAAACGTAAGCGTGTATTACGCTATGCCACCTACACCTTTTGACATATTTCTTCAACTTCATTCATAAAATAGCACGTAGGAGAAACGAAGGTGAAGTCAAAGGCAGATCTTACAATCTTTCCTTTTATCTTTCGAATGACTGGGAAGTTAATTATTAGTTTTTATAAAAGTTACAATAATTAAAAAGTTTTTACTTTATCATAATATAATTTGTTTCAAGTTATTAAAATATAACTTTTTTACGAAACATAATATATATAATATAAAAGAAAGAGAGAAAAATTTGTCAATTTTATTAGTAGAAAATTCTGAAAATTAGAAATAACTGTATTTTGTAAGTAATCGGATGGAAAAATTTAAAAAGTCTTTTATCTCGAATGCATAGCGATTTTTTTTAATATAAATGTGGTAGAGTCATTAAAGCCGGAAATAACGATGATACATGTCTGTGAAAAGAAAATTATGAAAAATTTTTATGTAACGAGAAAAGTATGGAACTCAATTAACCTCGGATTCGTTCGTTTCCTTGTATCTTGAAACGAAAAAAATATTCACCCCCCGATGAAAGTCGGAACGTTAATGCGGTTGGTCCAAACAAGGAGTTAGATTAATTACCAAGTTGATTTTTAAATTAGGTTTTAGAAGCTCGAGAATTACCGGTGAAAGATGTAACAGGTAGCAGCGATCCTTATATAAAGGTATATCTCCTACCCGATCGAAAGAAAAAGTATCAAACGAAGGTTCATAGAAAGAACTTGAACCCGATCTTCAACGAAACATTTATCTTCAGGTAAGTTTAAACGTAAGCAGTTGTTTTTAATCAAGTTAATTCTAACTTTATCGATAAACTGATTTTAAAATTCTAATAATATCATTTTATTTATTACCTTATTTATACACCTTTTATCGATAACATCAATATTCTCATTGGATATTGACAATATTCTATTAATGTCTTATATTGATCTGTTATTCTTACATATCGATTATTTTGCAATAGACTTGATGGAAAAATAATAATTTTTTTCTTTTTTGTCCTTTTTTTTTTCTTAAACATCATTTTATTTCTTTAGCGTTCCTTACGAGGAATTGAAGGAACGCTATTTACAATTTTCCGTCTACGACTTCGACCGTTTCTCCCGACATGATCTCATTGGCCAAGTGGTACTTAAAGGATTGTTGGATTGCACCGATCTCGAGCAAGAAATCGAGTACACGATGGATATTCTCTCTGCACCTCAGGTAATTTAAATCGTTCGTTTTAATCATCGATGGAAAAGATATGTTAAGTTTAAACTAATGAAATTTTGATGCTTTTAGGAAAAAGTGGATCTAGGAGAATTAATGCTATCTCTTTGTTATCTTCCAACCGCTGGACGGCTGACTCTGACAGTGATCAAGGCTAGGAACCTCAAAGCTATGGATATAACTGGATCGTCCGGTAAAAACAAAAAAAAAAATAATGAAAAAAGAGAAAAAAAAACTAACTTCACAATAATTTAAATTCGACGATATAAAGTTTTAGTTTGAATATTTTTTAAAACGAAATTAAAAAGTTAATAGACCATCAATGATAATGAAATCCAACCATTATCGGTTGACTTCGTATTAGTATTGGAATATCAAATTAGACGATGATAAAGCAGGCTCAAATTAATTTTATTAGAACGTTAATTAAAGCTATATGATTAAACGTTTCGAATATCATAGAATATAGTATAGTAAGGAGAAACACGCTAGCGTTTAATTATGTTTATCGTTCGGAAAATATCTCTCAATTTATGCGAAGAACTCGATCGTGTTTCATACTCATGAGAACACGTAAGTAGTTACTTACTCGCTTAATCGTATCTTTGTGCCACCATTCTACTCTCCATCTCTTTTCTTTACTTACGATCTCAATTATTATTCTCTTTGTTCTTTAGATCCCTACGTAAAGGTATACCTTCTCTGTCGTGGTAAACGAATAAAGAAAAAGAAGACGACCGTGAAGAAGAATATGCTCTTTCCCGTGTATAACGAGGCGCTCGTTTTCGACGTGCCAGCAGAGAACATAGAAGAAGTCAGCCTCATAGTGAAAGTTATCGATTACGATAGGTACGTGTGCGCGATCTTTTTCTAGCGCTATTACATGTATCCTATTTCTCTAAAAGAAACAAAAAAAAAGAGAAAGAAAAAGTCACAGTTCAAAGAATATTTTCTATTTGTTCTTTGTCACTACGTAGGATCGGTTCAAACGAGTTAATGGGTTGCACAGCAATCGGTTCAAGCTTTATCGGGATTGGTCGAGATCATTGGTTAGAAATGTTGGATAATCCGAGGAAACCAGTAGCTCAATGGTATCCTCTTCTTGAAACCGTAGCAGGTCATATCCCTTCAGTTGCTTCTGAACCACTTCCAGTAAGTTTGAGCTGCTTAAATAGTAGGTGAGTAGATCAAATATTTTTAATTTATTTTAATAAATTTTTTAATTCAATTTTATTTTCATTCAATATCATCTGAATCATTGTACGATTTACATTCGATTTTAATTTTGTTCATTAAATTTGTCAGATGAAGACAAAAGGTTGGAAGAAAAACATGCGGATGCTCGCAGAATTCCTTGAACGTTGACTTGGACAACGTCCCTCTCTGTCGTCATTTAATGCATATCGCTTGACTGACTTAAGTACAATCTCTATTTCAAACAAGGACTCGGAAGTCAAAACTCTGTGCTTTTAAAATCTTTACTTGCAACAGATGTGGATTAATAAATGAGTACTCGCTAAGGACAGCCTATGAAAAAAGGTAAAAAAAAAAAGAAACAAAAAAAGAGAAAAAAAAAACAAAAAGAAAAGTAAAAAAGAAGAGGGAATCTATGGCCGTTTGCTGGGACTTGTATAAGTTAGTCGAGATTTTCGGCAATGAGAAAGATGACCAAAAAGAAAAAGGAAATAAATAGTTAGGTACGTAGATTAGAGAACAAAGAAAGAAAGAGAGAGAGAGAGAGAATGTGTGTATGTGTTTTTGACGATAAATAAAAATATTACGATATCCATTAAAATTAATCACGGGCTGGACCTGGGATATCTTATCAAACGCACACTTTGATTTTAACGTATCATGACGGTCATGACGTTCATTCGAAATTGTTAGAAATAAAACTTGCAAAATTAGACGGATAGATAAGTTTTTATAAAAAAAAAAAAAAAAAAGAAAGAAAGTCGAGAAAAAGAGACGTATGTAGGTATATATGTGGATATGTACATATATATATATATATATATATGTGTGTGTGTGTACGTTATACCTCGTATGGAAGAATTTCAAAATGACGCCTCTTCGTTCTCGCGAAAGCTGGCTGCATCATAATGCATTATGACAAAGTACACAGGGCCTTATCCTCAGGTTAGACGAAAGAACAAAGACAGCGAAATGGTAGTATAAGAGATAAATCATTTTAAAAAATAAAAAAAAAAGAACGAACAAAACCGGTTTAATGAATTTGGTATGTTATAACTATGTAAAGAAAGCACACGTTAAAGAAAAAAAAGATAAAATCTGAAAAAGAAAAAGAGACACAGTTATATAAAGTTTGATGAATGCATATAATAATAGAAATTATTGACAGGCAGGTGTCGGCACATAGAAAGAAAATTTCATGACATTACTCCTCGGATATTTTCCGATATTTCCTTGTTAAAAGTAACTAAAAACTGGATATTATTAAATGAATGGATATTATTAAATGAAAAAAAGATAAATGAAGATGGAATCGGAGTAGAGATAAATAAAAAGATTAGAAAGTAACCTAATGTTATTAAAGAGGCTAATTCTCGAATGACAAATCATCCGTGTCCCAGCTTCTCTTTTCTGTTATTTCTCCCTTAAATATATTGTACCATTTTTGAGAACGATTAGGAAACAAACAGTTGAGATCTGACGACCGTCATATAAAAATGATAAAAAATGAACAAAAAAAAAAATTAAAAAGAAAAAAAGATACGATATAATACTTATGAGCACGCTTTTTTCTGTATACTTGCTTCTCGAATTTTTGAAAGCTCGAATATAGTTTTACACCTGCCTGATAAAATGCCTGCACTTTGCGTAGATACTCTTGCAAGACGGGCTATATATAACAATACATGTATTATGTGCTATAAATAATTATATTTATATGTCCGTGGAAAAATATATATGTATATCGATAGACACATATACAATCACACCACAGATACTCGAAAAGAAAAAAGAAAAAAGAAAATATTCTTTGATTCTTACGACAATAAAACGAGCGACTAGGTAGGAACCGAAAATAAAAAAAAAAAAGAAAAAAAGAAAGAAAAAAAGATAAAAAATAAAGAAAAAAAGAAAAAAAACAGTTTTGCAAGCTACAGTTTTGATCAATCCGTTAATATTATTTTCTTACAACTTTTACGTGCAAATTTTCGTAATTACAAAATATGAGAATTACCATTTTCCCCTGTTGAATCTTTTACTATTTCACGCAAGTTGCACCAATCTTTGTAGTAATGTTCTTTCAACGGGATACGTGTCTAGGTATTATACGTGAACAAATTCACAGAAACATACGCATAATCGTAACCTGGGTGAATCATATAAATTTTTACGAACGGATATTTCAAAAATAATATTAGATATTGATGTCTAAATTTTCTTTTTTATTTTTCTAATTTCGATAATTTATTAAGTATCATTATTGAAAGTATATTATGCACGATTATTTTTTAAATATTCGTTCGTATTACTTTAACTATTTCATCCTATATATGCATATATGATATAAAACATATAACAAAAAAATGAAGCTCAACAAGAGCGCTAATTGTGATAAATAATAAATGCGAACGCATATCATGAGTTTCACAAATTAACAAACATTGATATATGTTATTGTCATCGAAAGAGAAAGAAAGAAAAACAGAGAAAATGAGAGAAGATAAACAATAGAAGAAAACGTATGTATGAAAAGTGTGATAGAGAGAGAGAGAGAGAGAGAGAGAGAGAGAGAGAGAGAGAGAGAGAGAGAGAGAGAGAGAGTGAGTGAGAGAGAAAAAATATATATATAATAACGTGGCTGTTGCTTTGTATACTTGCACACGGCTAAATAAATTTACTCACAAAAAAATTGATAATAATGTATATTGTTTAAGAAAAAATATATCGTAGATATCGTGAGGAGATTTTCACAATATAAAAATTCGATACATGTACAATATAAATCATATAATAGACATATATATAAATATATAATATATATATATATATATATATATATATATATATATATATATATATACATATATATATATTTATATTATGAGCTATGTAAGATAAACGTATTATACCTTTAATTATATTTAAGTTCTTTTAAAAATGTAATTATTAGGAAAAAATTTACGAAAGTAAATGTGCATTTGAAAAATTAGCTTCAAAAATTATCTAACTTTGAAGAACTTATTATTTCAATTTATCTTGGGCCAAAAAACAATACTTATTATATAACTTTCATCTAAATGACATAATTCATCCTTCATATATATATACATATATATATATATATATATAAATGAGTAATGTTATAAAAAAATAACGTATCTTATGAAATATATAAGTAAACGTATTTTGTCTAGTTATTAGAAATGAAAAATATCTATAGAAAAGAGATCACACAAAAATGATTCAAATTAATTGTAAGTTAATTTAACGCGAATGTTGAAAAGGCAGAATGATCTATTTATGAGAATGATAGATAAAATATAACCGAATGTAGATTCTTACCCTCGTAACTCTAGTGCCGAAAAGTATCCAAGAAATTTTTCGTTAGTGGGTGATATTATTTCGAAGGAACATTTATCTTCTCCGTCGATGTTTCCGCGAAGAATACTTATAAAGAATGAGAATTTTTTCGGGCATCCTGGGGGATGAAAAATTCGAGAAAAAATGAATCCTCTCACGTGTCAACGTGAAAGCGAAAGACTACAGGCTTCGAGTAACGTTACATTACGTATTAAAATAAATATATCTTGATCGAATGAATATAACCTGATTGATAAAAATATACGTAATCTATGTAGACTGTCCCTTTATGGAAAAAAAAAAAAAATAAACGGTAACATTAATACCATATTATTGTCAGGAAAGTAAAAGAAAAAATTGTGCCAAGTGAAATAATCATTGTAATATATAATAGAATCTATATATCGACATATATAATATCTATATAAATATCTCTCGGATGCTTATAATTATATCTTTTATGGTTCATAAATTCTACGCTTACATTTTTCGAGTCAATTTACTTGGACGATGCCTGCCGTTGAACTACAAGACTTTTCCTTAGTCTTTTCGAATCTATCTTCCTTCCAGCGATGTCCGTTATCAAAATTCGTAACAAAATGATGATAATAGGAAAGAAAAGAGAATACAAAAAAAAAGAAGAATATTGTATTTTTTCATACCAGAGTAAACTCATTTCAACAGACTGAGCATATCTTTTAACACTCTTGTTCTTATAAAAATCTAGACAGGCATTTGGAAGGAATATTTATACGATCGTTTTATTTTGCCGATAATTTGTAATTTAATTAGTGTTATTTATAATTAAATCATGTCTCCTAACGTCACGAAAAAAATTAATCAAATCGATTGTTTTATTTGAAACGGGTATAATGAAATCCTTTCTTGTTATAATTATTAATCCAATTTAAGAATAATATTTGTCATATAATATTACATATTTTATAAAAATACGTTTTTTTATTCTTTCTTTAAAAAAAAAAAAAAGAAAGAAACAAATTACCAAATTATCGGTATAGTAGTAAGATTGACATAATGATTTTTATTTTTAATGGGCATCGTGTAAAATATTCGAAAGACAAGAAAACTTTTCTGAGAATCTGTCACTGCCCGTCAATGATGGATGGCATTTGAGTATACGCGTACCTTCCACCTATCAATTAAAATGCGTAGAGATCCTACGTATTTCAAGAACCATTAAAAAAAAAAAAAAAAAAAAAAAAAAAAAACAAGAAAGAAAAACAGACAGGGATGGAAACGACTGTATCCCGAAAGTGGATAAAATACTATTTTATGATACTAGTCATGTTGAGAAGAAAGAAAAAAATACGTACTATTTCGTAAGCGAATTACTCCGTCTCTTTCGTTTAATTATATCGATTCTAAATCAAAAGATAAAACGATCATTAATTAATTAAAAATATTTGTCACGATTGCATATCAAAATGTAATAATTATTGTACTTTTACATTACATATATTTTTTCTCGTATAGATATAAAAATACGTAAGAGAATATTTCATTCAAAGTAATGCATCGATCACTTTCAACGGTAAATCCAATCTGCAATATTTAATGGAAGGTCCTCCATCCCTGATGAAAATAACAAATAAACAAAAGATTGATTGTATAAATTGATTGCATGGTAGTCTCGTTTAAAAAGAATAATCCCTTTTCAACACGAAAGTGATCGTGAAACGCATATAATTCTATTAATAAATGTAATAAAGGTCTCTAGATCGACGATATGCATACTTTTCTAACGAATACATATCTATACTGTATATTTGGACGTGCGACGCCCTGTATTGTGATTGTGAAGAAAACAAATAAATCGATATAAATCATAAATTTATATTGCTTTTTTTTTTTATCGATCTCGATCTCTTTTAAAAACTTATTCAATAGATACAAAATGAAAAAATTTTATGATACAAAGCATTGACAAGATTTATCGCCGGTGGCAAATAAGAAAAATCTTCTGCAACATCAAATGTACTTTTCATTTATTTGACTACTTATGTTTACAGATTTTAATCTAATCTTAAGCTAGAGATACAACTTTCCCATTATGTTACCTAAATCGAAACGTTACGATATTTCTAAGTATAAAATAAGCAATGGAGCTTATATTGGTAATGTGGTAGCAACGACTTAAGTACCTTTCTACTTAATACGTACTCGTTAAAAGTGGCGGGAATAAACCTCTACACCGTTTCTCCTTCTACCAGGTGTTATATTCTTTTTCTTTTTTTTTTTTTTTCTTTAGCGAAAAAACGATAATTCGATAAAATCACATGACTCATTCCTATCGATCAACGATTTTTAATTACGATTTTGGCTTCGTCGTAAAATCAGAAATCTTTCGAAGATCGTTCGCGGTTCCATTCATTTTCTTTTATTAATTCATCCTCTATTTCGTCTTAACGCGATTTTGAGTTTTATTAAATTCGTAAGAATTACAAAAAAAAAAAATCGATCTACATAACGTTCGACGTCAAAAGAGGAACACCAGGGTACCGCAGAACGATCTTACGGTAGGTAAAGTCAGAGCTCCTAAGCTCTAATCTCTTTTGAATATTTCACTGTAATATTAAAAACACTATTATGCGAAATCGTAAAGCAAGCATTGTCCAGTAATGTTTATGCATTCATTGAATCACCGTATCCTTTTTTTCTCTTTTCTTGTTTTATTTATTTTTTTTTTTTTCTTTTCTTTTTAATCCTTTCTATCGCACGACCTACCACTAGAACGATCGGACTAAAAATCGGTTCTTTTCCTTCCGTGATGTATGTAATTATTGTTTTGGAATGTCTTTCGTTTTTCCCCGTCGCTCTTAAACGCCGCGAATAGCGAAACGAAGGATCGATGAAGACGAGTATTCGAAACGATTCAAAACAAAAATGTCCGATCTATTGTTTCCTTTCTCTTTTTTTTCTTTTTCTCTTTTTTTATTATTTTTTTTTCTTTTTTAATTTTCTTGCTCTGGGAATTTTGCGATGAATCGTTTCGAACGCGTCGAGTAATCTATCATAGATTCATAATAATTCTACAGGCAGCCCTTCGTGTACGAACGAATCGATTAAGAAAAAGTTCCCCATTTTTTTTACGAGCTCGACGAGAAAGTCTACTGATTTATATTTTTCGTAGCTTTCTTTTCGTTTTCTTTCTTTCTTTTTTTCTTTTTTTTTTCTTTTTTTTATTATTTTTTTTTCTTTTTTTTTTTAATATCGGTCTAGCAATTCGAAGATTGATTTCTGAATGAAGTAAAACGTATCCCTGTTATCGTTTACTCAACACGCAAAAACATTAATTAATTTGGGTCTTAACTCTTTCTCTCTCTCTCTCTCTCTCTTTCTCTCTCTCTCTCTCTCTCTCTCTCTCTCTCTCTCTCTTTCTATCTGTCCCTCTCTCTCTCTCTCTTTCTCTGTCTCTCTCTTTCTCTCTTTTTGTCGTTACATATCATATACAAATTTATAGTACTCCTAATATCTCCTCCTCCGAGCTATTTTCTTTCTTTCCCATTAATTTCTCTTTTTATTTTGTTTTTCATCACGTTTTCTTGTTCTTTTTTTTCCACTTTTTTCGTTCATCCGTAATATTAAGTACGTTTATAATTCATAATCCGTATTAATCCAATAAGGACATTAATCGATATAATAATGACAATAGAATGTAGTAATCGTAATAATATAATTATAGGCAAACTCTTGTAGCGTTGTACTTAGCGTTATTTAAAATAGTAGCAATATATTTTATATATATATATATATATGTATATATATATACTGAAGTTCAAGTACGGACAGAAAATCGACTTGTTATTTGCCATTATTTCTTTCTTTTTTTTTTTTGTTCTTCTTGTTTCATTATTTTTTCTTGTTATTGTTGTTATTGTTGTTGCTGTTATTATTGTTGTTGCTTTCTTTAAACTTCCTTTTATATGTATATATAGCAATATGGAGGGAATTCACTAACAACATGCTCGAAAAGTGCAGCATTCTCACACATCTATAAACAAATATAAAAACTCTTCTTTCTCACGTCTCTTTTTGTTTTCTTTCTTTCTTTCTTTCTTCCTTTTTTCTTTCTCTCTCTTTTTTTTTTGTTTCTTTTTCATCGCTTTTATCATTTTACACGAAATTTTTTCGCACCGCTAAGATACATCATCACCGACATTAACTTGCTTTGCTCTCTTACATACGCGAACGTCTTCCCCAGACCATTCAATCGAAAAAGAAAATCTCTCGTAAAAATCTTTCCTTTATTATTGCACTGATTGTTATAATAACGATGATAATAATAATAATTAGACTCGCTCGTCGAACGTCGACGGAAAAACGTTAGGTCGAGAGGGAAAGCAGAAAATCGCCGATGAAATGTATACGTAGCGTGTGTATGTGTGTGACTTTTCACGTTATTCTTTCTCTTCGTACATCCTTCTTTCTTTCTCTATCTCTCTTTTTCTCTCTTTCTCTGTCTCTCTCTCTCTCTCTCTCTCTCTCTCTCTCTCTCTCTCTTTCTCTACTTCTATCTCTATCTTTATCTCTTTCTCTCATACATTCTCACTCTCTTATATTAGTAGCGAAAATAAGACGTCGATAATATGCTCCTGTACACTTAAGTACACGTAAAACGATTATATGCGCGATAGAAATACAATCTTATACGTTTACAAGAAAACTAATTATATCGTGTTTGCAAGCATCAAACACGACTCTTTCACCTTTATCTCGATTATTTTCGAACTTCATCGTCGTTTCTTTCATTCGTTTCCTTTCATTCATTCACACACATACACATATTCTTCCTCTCGCGCTTATATTACTTAAATTCACTTTTTTTTTTCACTCGTATCCGAATCGCGAAGGGAACATTTTACGATCATCATGCACAAATAAAAAGAACACGCCCAATTTGGCGAACATTACTGTTACTTGACACGTTGCACACGAAACATTATCTTTTTTTCTTTTTTTTTTTCTTTTTTCTTTTTTTTAAGATTTCCTTACGTTTCTATACTAATATTAATAATCATAATACAATAAAAATAAAATTAATAATAATAATAATAATAATAATAAGATTAATAAGAATAATAATAATAATAATAATAATAATAATAATAATAATAATAATAATAATAATAATAATAATCAGCATCATCATCGTCATCATTATCATTGATAATAATACCGTACGTACGACGAGCGATCGAGAGGGATCGATTGATCCACTGTCGCATGCAAGCATCGACGTAATTTCCTGTATTGATTAATATACACAATATTGATTTTCGACAGCTCTATTGCATGTAACTCGAACGGTACAAACGACGGAACCATGCGATCCTACATTTTTTACACTTAAGCCGTAGACAATAATAGCATTAAGAATGCCTTTAAATATTATATCAACATCTATGATCGATACGGACCACGTAGACCTTCGTTCGCGACTACTTTCATCTTTGTCCTCTGCATTTATAAAAGAGAAGTCTCTGACTAGTTTAGCATCCTGAGCTGTTTATCATTCGAACCTTTTAAATAAATGTCGACGACCCGGCAAATGATCTCGATCGATTTAAATGTAAATCGAAAGTTTCTGTAATATAAAAAAAAAAAATTTTTAAGATAAGATTGATAAACGCATAAAAGATGTTTCAAATAAAAATATAAAATATAAAGGGGACAAGAGGCATAATAAAATATAATTCGCTTAATAATGCTATCGTAGAAATTAAGATTGATTTCCAAATCCTATTTCTTTTGTTTTTTTTTTTCTTTCTTTTTTTCCTTTTTTCTTTTTTTCTTTTTTTTCTTTTTTTTTTTCTCCCAACTATCTCTATAATAACAAATTCTATTGTACTTCCATGGAATCGCGAAAAATAGCCTCCGCGAGTCCGTAACACACGAATTTCGCACTTGTTATACTTGAAGAAATCTTTCCTTCACTCGTAAAACATTTTTCACGCCCATTCACGTTCCTTTGTCCCACTTCGCGACATGAAGATCTTCCCCCCTCGAAGTCTCCGAAAAAATGGAATAGCTATGACACACCCTATCGATATCAATAACCACGTCTTGTAATCTCGCTGATTAACATGCGCTCGCGCGGATAAAAACGATTGTCCATCGAGACAGCTCGATTAATTTTTGCGTCGTTGTGCAAAGCGAAACGAAGCGAGGACGAGTCATACGTTTGAAGAAAGCATGCATCAAAGACTAAGTGCAAACGACTCAAAGCTATACGTGCTCTTCTACCATTATCAGTTACATTCATACCGAGAGTTCGTCGTTCTTTTTAGCTTCGAAAAATATCGATTTATAAAGGCAGTAACACGAGAAAATTATCTTCATTCCTAACGTTATCCATCTCTGTTTTATTTAATTTTCAATATAAAAATTATTTCGCAAAAATCGTAATAAAAATGAATCTCAGAGTAATTAATATCAATCCTTTCCTTTTTGTATCTAATCAAAATATTTCGCTGTCTTAAATCATTCGAACTCTTTTTTCTCTTTCACACACACGCATATCTCTCTCTCTCTCTCTCTCTCTCTCTCTCTCTCTCTCTCTCTCTCTCTCTCTCTCTCTCTCTCTCTCTCTCTCTCTCTCTCTCTCTCTCTCTCTCTCTCTCTCTCTCTCTCTCTTATTCTATCTATTACACAAAATCAACTTCCACGAAGGACGCACTAGGTCCAATCGTGAAAGAAGAAATGTTGATCCTTCGGTGATACGACGGACCACTGTCAGAATGAATTCGAGATGTTTAAAACCACATTTCTTTAGCCTATGTAATTTAATCGATCTGCTGATTATATATCTCGTGTGCGAAAATACCAAGAAATATCCTCGCAAAAAGTTAAGCTGGACGGCTTTGATAAAATTAGGATCTCTTTCGAAGGACGCGAACATTGGATAAGGGTGGGCTGAGGTAAATAGTGTGTAGTAAACAGGGACAGGCTTACTTAAGTGCATATAGTAAGTCAGATAAGGGGGAAATGGAATCTTAGATATATAGCAGGTGTAATTCAGGGAAGTGCTCATTAGCGTAGATACACGGATTATACAAAAGCTTCGCGGACGGCAGAGTATACAAAGAGAATGCCATCTATCTCACATTTCTTATATTCTCTTTTTCTTTCTCTACCATTCTCTTTTCGCGTGCCTCGAAATTTAAGGTGATGCTACTCGCGTGCTCTTAACCGAAAAGGTTAGAAAAATCGTGAGAGCGACGTAATTCTTATTCTTATTCTTATTCTTATTCTTTTTCGTTTTCTTTTTCTTCTTTTTTTGTTATTGTTTCTTTCTTTTTCTATAACTTTTAACAGACTTGCTTGTGGAAATAAGATGCCTCTCTTCCTACGTAATATGTTTTCTTTTTTTGTTCATATATAAGACGGTACGCGGTATTTTTTCTCTTTTTTCTTTTTTCCATCTTTTCTTTTTCTTTCTTTTTCTTTTTTTTTCTTTTTTTTTCTTTTTTTTTTTTTACTTTTTTCCATTTTCGTTTAAATGAAATCAATCGCCCTAACGCTAACGAACGCATACGCGTATATTATCATTTTGTTCCGTAATTCTCTTATTTTTAAGTTTATCTGCACACCATTTTATTATGTATATATGCATGTATTTGTGTGTTTGTGAATGTGTGCATGTGTATACATAAGTTTACATAACACGGCGATTTATTATTTACAGGAAAAGAGTTACTAACGAAGGGTAAAGGAAACGAGATAGTAGCTTTTGAATGAGCGAGGGTTATAAATGAACCCGCGCGATTCGAGCCGTAAAAATTAACTTACGCTCTAATATATCCTGTACACGGCCGAAGAGAACCGAAAATACGCGACTTTTGAACGGCTCGCGATTTATGCCGGCGTTACGTCGGCATTGCACATTTCTTATATTCTTTTATTCTTTTTTGTTCTTTTTCGATTTTCCTCCCGCCTTCGTGAAACATCTTTTTATTTTCTTTTTTATTCCTTTTTATTTTTTCTGTTTCATTGTCAATTCCGATCCGCTTTGTTTATCGAAAACGTGAGAATAACTCGGCTACTTCCGTGTCTCGATTAATTGACTAGCATTGAGCGTATGTCGCTCGATCAGGAGCTCACAACGAGCTCCGCCCTTATCGATCGGAACTGTCGGAAAATCTTTGAAAAGTTCCTTCCGCTTTTCCGACAGTTCATCGGAATCAAATAGTGCAAAATTAACGTGCGAGAATCGAGCGAATTTTTCTCTTTTCTATCGACATTTGCCTCTCTTTCTCTCACACACTGTTTCTTATTCTCTTCCTCCCTTCCCCTTTCTCTCTTTCTTTCTCTCTCTCTCTCTCTCTCTCTATTACCAATGTTCGAATATTTTCTCGTAAAACACTTTGAAAAAAGCGCTACATTATTTCTTATCAATTTGTAAAAAGCGAGCTTATTGCTGAGCGCTGAATAATCGTGGATTATTTAATACGGATTCACCCTCCTTGTGTCTACTTTTCTTAAATTTTTCATTGCACAGAACACTTATCTTCTTTATTCTTTCATTTTGTCCCTTACTCATCAATATTTCGAAAAAGCGTGTCCTTGTTGTTCCTTGTCACGAATTTTATATAGATCCATGGTCGCTTTGTTGATCTTCGCGGGAAACGCGAGCGAACTTTTTTGCTCGCTAAAGGAGGAAGAAGCAGCAGTTTCAGTAACGTTGCTGAAATTCATGATGCCACCTGTTGAAATCGATGTGGAATATTACGATCGAACCATTAGCTAGACCAGCTAGCAGAAACCTAAAAGGAGATATGCATCAGCCGAATTGTTTTAATGTAAAAAATTCAACTTATAATGCAAATAAATGATCGAAATTCAAGGAAAAACCATTTTACTTACCGATCGTTCAAAGTTACGATACTTACTTTTGATCATGAGAGAGTGCCAAAGAACGCACACTGCTCTCGCAAGCTGGAAAAGCGTAGAGGAGAGCAAGATTAAACGTTCGCCAAACTTCTACGATCCCTTTGTCACCACCGGTCATCAGATACTCGCCATCTCTGCTCAATAGCAAGCACTATACGAAATTAAATAATGGCATTAAATCGATGAATTTATCGGCTTATCAACGAAGATCGAAACGCCATTTCTACCTGAAGATTATCGTTGTGCGATTCATGACGTAGACGCTTTCCATTAATGGTGAAAGCAGCGACGTGTCCACGTTCATAATTTACAACGATTACACCTTCCCGCGACATAGCGATATTTTCGGGAGATGAAAATCCATTTGGTGCTCCGAGGGACCTTAGAAGATCACCGAACGTCGTGTGTACTAAGACAGGTCCATCTATATTTCGAGAAAATCAGTTAAAGAATTTTAATATTTACTAATTGCTTAAAAATGTTAATGCATGATGATATTTAAAAAAAAAAAAAAGAAAATAGAAAGGAGAAAAATATTAAAAAAAAATATACGATCAAAGAAAATTCACGTACAGTAGGAACCGGAAACGACCAAGCCCAATTCGGCCGAAATGACAACAGCCGTGACCGGTTGCTCGTGACCCGTCAATGTAGCACGAGGAGCAGGTGCTTCACCTTCTCCGACAATAGTCTGCGTTCTAGCGTTCCAATGCCATAACAATACCGTACAGTCGGCACTTCCGGAAGCAATATAGCAATCAGAGGTAATATTGCACTCGCTACGAGATAAACACGTCACCACACCGTAATGCCCGAAAACGATCTGGACAATTTTGGCTAGAAAAATACATTTTAGAAAGATCCGATATTAAAATAATTAATTTCAGTGATATATATATATATATATATATATATATATATATATATATTAAATTATTTTTTTAATATAATATTTGATATTAATATACTCAAACAAGTCGGTCATCATTTTTATTCGTTTTGTTACCTGTCTCAGTTGAGAACACACGGAAACTGTTATCCCAAAAGCCACAAGCTACTAAAAATCGACTATCCACTGTGGTAACGAAACAATTACTTCGAATTTTTAATTTCTGACTGAAATTGTCACCCAAATGACGACGCAATGCTGGATTCGAGCTATTTGCTGCTTGTGCTAAAACAACAAATTTTTACGATTGATTATGTTAGAGAGACAGAGAGATTTTTCTTTCATAATTTCTTTTCTCTAAAAACTCACATAAAACTGGATCCATGGAAAGAGGTTGATTCGCTGCCTGAGCTTGTGGTGTATCGGCATAACTTGGGGATTGTACTGATGCTATAACAAAAAAGAAGAAAAAGAAAATAAATTTTTATCAGAAACATTATTCTCTCTATATCTTATCTGATTGAAAATACTTATTGTATGAATTATTTATCGTTATTAAAAAATGATAATATAATATCATGCTATTTACCAGCATAATTTGTATTCCATCGATTAACAGCAAATTGTTGTCCGGTTGTAACAGTAACGACCGATGGTAATGGTAATTGCGGATAGGTATTGGCCGATATATGACAGATCGGTGAATTCGATGGGAACTTGATTGTCATGCAAACGTCATCCGGTATACTGGAGAACATCATCGGTGACTGCAAAATGGGAAGAGTCTTATGCAGCTTCGTCGAAGAGCTCCAAAAAGTATCCTAAATCGTAGAGAAAAGGGTACATAGCTTATCGATGAACTAACATATAGCTCTGTAACCTTTTCTCGAAGTTTTTGTTTTCATTGAATCACGTATGTACGTTTCGTTGACCTTCCGTTGAAGGTGACATACGTTCGAGGAATTCGCCAAGAATCATAACGACAAGTGTCAAAGTAATTAAAAACGAAAGAAAAAAAAAAAAAGAAAAGAAAATGCGTTTCTCGAAAGACTCACCAAATGCATAGCCGAGCTTCGAGGTGGATGCGGTTCCATTAAAAGCTGTGACGGAGTCTGTCCAAAGTTTCTTATCTGATTCTCTATCGCTTCTCTCATCACTGAATCTGTTATCGCATCAAGATCCACGCTACCTTCATATGTGAGATAATAAAATACGTTTGTGGCTCGTACCGCCTCAGGACCTATTGAAATCGAATACGAATCGATTAAGAAAAAAAGTTTCTTAAATTATAAAAAATTTTTGATACTTTCGAATTAATACTTCAAAGGGTCATTTTAAAATGATCCGATCATTGATTTCGATACAAAACAAATGAAATTTAATTAAAAATAAACATAAATCTTGTTGATTTCCTTCAATTTCTTTATTAATTGATGTAAATTATTAGACAACGATTTCTTTTTTTTGCTCATAATTATCAACGAAATTTCGATCGATTGTTATTATTTGAATTTTTCGAAATATTTCAAGTCCTCAGGCTACGTCAAGACAATCTTCAAAATCATTCGTGGCCGGTATTTCCGTTTGGCGCTACTTTCGGCTGGTTTGTAATCTTTGAAATGTGTTGCATATTACGAGTGAGACGCATTGTCGCACCCGGCACACGTGCCTAATTGCTCAAGACACGGTGATGGTAAAGATGGAAGCTAACTAAAGACTAATTCCTTCCATACGTCGGCCACCCTTCTATTTCTCTCTCTTTCTTACACATATACTTCCCTTATACACATGCATAAATTTCCAAGTCTTTTCACGAAAGAGAAGGAGCATCTTCGAGGAAGCGCCGGATATAGAGGCGCCACCGGTAATTAACATCCTCCGAAATTCAATCTGACTCGACTAGCCTTGTCCCAATAGACGCTTCTGATTCATTCTCTTACGACTCGTAACATTGTACAAACTGCGGTATCTCAATTTCAAAATTCAGCATACCATGAGAAATCTAATTTCATTATTATCAATCGATATTCTTTGTGTTACACAATCGAAAAGAAAATATAATATTTCTTTTTACTCTAAATTGTAAATAAGTATGATTAAAAAAACGATTGTGAGATTTAAATTGAAAAAGAAAAAAAAACTCATCTCTTTTCTAAGTTATCTCTTTTTAACGAATGTAAACTCACCTTTCTGCTTGTAACCAAATATCAAATCGATCCATTGATGTAATTGACAAGATACGAATTCAGACTCGAGTGCCTGAAAATAAAATATAATTCGAAATATAGCTCGAAAATTCGATAGACTTGGTTCGTTTGAAAATTGTCGATGATTCACCATTCGATTGATCCTTATAAATTCTTCAGGTGATGATGCCCAAGGAGGTAATTCAACGTTACCAACCGCGCTACCGTCTTCCTGTCTGCCAAGGCGATAACGATTGCTGTTGACAAGCATTTCCGGCAGGAAGAAAAATTCTGGTATAAGTTCCTGTTAACAAGGACGAAAAATTTATTATTATTACGTTCGCGATAACAACGATAGACACGAGGAGAAACTTCTATACGTCTCTTTAGTAAAAAGGCGGAGCATGCACACGCCTCTAATATGTAAATTTCGAAGTGGGCCGACCACTCGTTTGCAACGTTTCAAACTCAACGAACCTTGACATCCGACGTATCGCGCTGACAGTTCTTCCAGGAAAGTGCAATGGATGAGAAAAGTCTATTCGGATAATCAAACTTTCCGCCTTGGAGTGCCAAGAACATTGTGGTCATCGGTTCCTAAAAAAACAAAAACAAAAAAAAATAATAATAAAAGATCAAACAAGTATATTACTAGATGACTCAAACAAAAAATATTTAATATTAAATAACATTAAAAAGAAAAATTTTTGTATTCGATTTACATAATTTTTTTTATACATTTACATCGGAGACATGTTTAAACATTTTAAAATGTAATTCGATTCGAAATAATTCGAGAGTTTCACGCTATATAAAAAGAAACGTATCTTCGTCAACATTCTATATGATGAATGGAAAGAGCATGGTTAACTAATGTCAGCGCATAAATCTTATCCTTTTTCGATGACCGGAAGCATGAAAAAAGGGCGGGTGACGAGGCGTGGTAGAGGCGGCACCACTTTAAACGGCCACTTAAGGGCACTTTATAAGGACCACTTTATTCTGACATCTACCGCTCGCTTTTCATCCTCCGTTGATCTATAACGGAATGAATCGTCGGATCACTTGCATTTTTTCAAAATTCCGATCATTTTCTCACAGTAGATATCTGATATTTCGTCGATAATAAAATTTAGAACTCTCGAATCAAGACTCGAACAAAACTAATCTCATCTTTTTGGATTTGTTTTTATTGAAATTATTATAATCCATTCAATTTATATAAAATAAAGAATGACTCGAAAAATTTCATGATAATTAACTTAAAATAAATAAACATTCTACACAAAAGTAATCGAACGGTGTAATAAAATAATTTAAAATGTATCCAAATGACTATAAATAAATAGCTCCCATGTTCTTTCTTCGAGAGTCGTCCAACGATCGTGAAATTCTTTGAACACGCCTCGAATAACTGTGAACAGAGAGCTATAAAGTCATAATTTCTTTACGACATGGCCGATTAAACGATAAAACGCATGAGAAATAAGAAAATCGACGTGGTCTCTCATCTCAAGATACTTATCGCAAAATACTCGTTTCGCCGATAGTTAAATGAAAGGGCGTCGGGCAGGATTCAAAAGTTCTAGAATCGGTAAATCGAATAGCGAGATCGTAAACGTCATGACAGAGCAATGCGCCACTAGTTTAGAATCTTTCTTCTTAACGTTCTCGACGAATTTATGAATCTCTTTGAAAATCAAACCGGGTAAGATGTTTTCCGATTATCAGGAAGACAAGATATTCGCTAATATACAGAAACCCTAATTCTGAATTTAATGATAAAAATCTCTCAAATATTTATTAATCTGGAAAAAAAAAGCTAAGAGTAAATATATAATAACTTACCACGCGTATCATCCAATTCAAAACAAACGCTGCTGTAGAATAATGCGTTCCATAATGGAACGGTGGTATACTGTCGTGTTCCCAACTTTGGAAACGTTCTTCGAAATAAGCCCTCCTACTGGGATTCAAAGCACCGATTGGCTATAGAGAAAAGAATAACAATATTATACAAAATATGTAACACTTTATATGAGATCAGGAAAAATAAGAATTTACCTTTGACAGATCGCGATAATTGCTAGGTAAGCTTAAATCAAGTTCCTTGGTCTCATAATTCGTCAGGACCCAAGGAAAGACTGGATACTGATTCAAATCGTTGTAAGTTCGACCTGAAATGAAATGTTTCATATAAGTTCGAAATAAACGAACAAAGATGTTTTATTGATTTTAACCCGGAAGAAACATACTGTTTCTTTCGTACTTAGAAAAAAGGAAGAAGAAATGAGAAAAAAAGAAAAGAAAAAAAAAAGAACGATCACGTAGGTAATTCATACTGACGATTTCATTTTTAAATCTCATTCCGAGGAGGCCCAGAAATAGATGAAGTACGACCGTCGGAGGCTTTAAATGAGAAGCACGATAACTGGGCCAGTTTTTTCTTCGATCTTACGCGCGAGCCACCCTCGCATATCTACTCGCACGCGTAGTACCAAGAGAAAGAAAAAAAAAAGAAAGAGAAAGAAAAAGGAAAAGAGAGAGAGAAAGAGATAGATAGATAGAGAGAGAGAATATCGCGGGTGATATACGAGGATAGCTAGGCCAGCTCTATTTTTACGAAAAGTGAGTCTTCGCTCTCAATGGGCCACGGTGCTCCGTTTAGTAAACGCATAACTCAGAGCGTGACGGCTAATCGCTCCTGAAATTGTCGGCAGGCACCCCCTCTCCTTTAAGAAGTAGAGCCCCTCGACGGAATCCCATTCCGAGATGCATTAGTGACGGCAAAAGTCCGCGCTAGCTACTCCTGCCAGTTCGTCTAATCTCTTTCCCTGTCGCTAATTAAAGCACGTCAGCAAGTCCTCGTCAGACACGTAACGTTTCACTGGGAACGGTCTAAATCTTTTTGCTTCGTGAAATGAGCTGTTTCATTTTGAGAAAAGAATTTCCTTTCGGTTCGAACTAATAAGTATCGAACTTAATCAATGATTATAAATCTATTCTATAACTATTCTATACACATGCATATCTAGACATTATGCTTAGACATTCAATTGATAACAAGTTCGCTAAAAGAGATAGTAAAATCGAACGTTAAACAGTAAAATATAAAAAGAAAAAAAAATGGAAAAGATAAAGAAGACGATGAGAAAATAGGATAGAGTAGAATAAAAGGAATTTTTCGCGGCTTCGAAGTTACAACCGCGAAAGACAGGCGCGTCCCGTCGTCACTACAATGCGCCGTAAATCGTGAGACAAGTCCATGAGGGAGAAAGAGAAAGAGAAAGAAAAAAAGAAAGAGAAAGAGAAGAGGGTTGTGGAGGTCCGCAGGAAGAGAACTCGGACCGAGAGACGAGGACGGCGGCTTGAATAATAGCACGGTCGCGTTATGCATCAAAGTCATTATTAATGGTAGCGTCGCCGTGAGCGAGTGCTCTCGGAACTCCTCGCGACAAGCGGAATGTCCCTTTGCCCTCCGCCTTCGCGCTTAACTCCCTCCTTGGATTCGCACTCGAGTCCTTCCACCTCTCTTCCTTCTTTTTACGTATCTCTTCTTCTTTTCTATATCCATACCCTCTCGCTTTTCACATTTGAAATTTCACTAAATTAAGAACGACGAGATATTTACAGTGCGATACATTTTTCATTTTCATCAATTTACATTTGATTATAATACTTCGATCAACGACCATTTATCATTTATCATTCATTCATTGCATTATAAATTGTACTATGTGATATATCTAGTTTATTATTTTGTTTTGTTTTGCTTTTTTTTTTTTTATACATATATGATTATCGATAATGAGTTATCCTGTTTCTCAATTAAACACGTTAATTGCTAATAAAGATAAACTTATAAACTCTAAAAAGGTTCTAGAAAGGTTCTATAAAGTTTGATAAAAGCTTCGTTGACTTAATCGACTTTTTTTGAAACATCCTGCATAATATATGAATACCTATCACCTTTTTATTTCTTTCCTTATCTTTTTTCTTTTTATCCTTTCCTCGCTCGTTTCAACGCGCGACAAGGCGACGTTATAATAAGTACGATACGCGTCGAAAGAGACAAGCTCGTTCTTAACCATCCGGTGTTAAGATTTAGTCAAGCGTGTATATATTTTTCAAAGATAAAAAAAAAAAATGAAGCAACGGAAAAAAAGTCGTCAATGAACTGACTTATCTGTATATCGAAAAATAATATATTTTTTCATTTTCAAAATTTGTCAAAATCGTTCGATCTTTCAACTTGTCACGTTGCATCTTCGACATTCCATAAGAATTTCAGAGTTTAATATATATATATATATAACAAAAAAAAGGCAAAAAAACTAATATTTTTTACATAAATTTTCTCTCTAAAGCTGACACCATTTTCTTGCGTCTCAAAATTCTGGGCCACCTTGTATCCAAGCTCAACCTGACTGACTCGACTCGACTTTCCTTGCCACACCGAAGGAAGGCTAGCGTCACCGTCAAATTTACGTCTGATCCTTACCTTAATTAATTCGAAACAAACAAACCAATACGAAGAAAGTCGTATAACATGAGATACCCGCGTTTAGCGTTGTTCATAAGAATATGAAAGAATCGAGGATGCAAATGGCGGTCTTCCAAAAGGACTTTCGTCATTCTTTCTCTCTCTCCCTCTCTCTCTCTCTTTCGTTCTTTTTCTTCGTACATCATCTTGTAACGCGTGCTATTTATTCGTGCAATTAATATATAACGCTCGTAAATAGCGACAGGGGCCACCCTCTGGGCATTGGCTTTCGCACGCCGAAATACGAATAATTACCCGTCCGTGATCATCGCCGTCATTAAGAAAGCGTGGCATAGCGTGGGCGAACAGAAACTTTATGCCCCGATTCTTGTTCTTTCGTGTTCGCTCGTTAACTCTATAAGAATGTAGGTATACCTTCCGATCGTGTAAGATCGAAAACTTATTCTTTTTTTCTTTCGTTTTTTTTTTTTTTATTTTTTTTGTCTCGAAAATGCATTTAACCGTTCGATCGAATTCGATATTAAATATCTTTCTATAATTTTACGAGCACTGTTATTAAAATTTCATTGGAATAAGATTAAATGAAATGAAAAATGAAATGATAAACCATATGATGAACAAAATAAATTGAAAATGAAATCTTTCATCATTCGATCGCATATCCCTCGAAAAATATTAATCCCTCCTTAGAAAACGAAGGTGGTATGAGAAAAGGGGTAGCACGAAGGTCAAACCACCTCCAGGGCAACGTCTCGAGTTTCGTGATTTCGACTACCGCATCGAGGGAAGCCGATATTAAAACCAAAGAGAAACAAAGAAGCGGCATCGAAAACCCGCTTGGAGGGTCGCCGCGGAGAAACCGAGACGGAAGAAGAGAGTCGGTGTGTCCCTAGGGAGAGGATTACCAAGGCCCACGACATAGGGATTACTCGCATGGGGTAGCTAAAGGAACACAGGGCTGATTGAGAACATCCCTAATGCGCAACGACAGACTCCATCCGCCCGTGCGCAGCCATAAAAAGCTCGACTCTGCTTCCCTCTCTCCTTTTCTATTCTCTTTTCTATGCTTCTTTTTCTCTTTCTTTCTTCTTTTCTTTGCATCTCTCTCTCTTTCTTTACGAGAACATCAATACCAATGTTTGCTATTCAATTCGTAACATTTTCCGCTTACACGATCGATAAATAAATCGCTTCTTTTTCTTGAGAAAATATTTTTATGATTTAATCAAATGCGTAATCATTGACGATTTTACTTACCAGCAATCGTATTTAAGAACATCAAATATTCGAAGTTCGAAATCTCTCGACGCTGCCATTTCTGCGTCATGTTGGAACTTCTCATAAGCTGTCTTGGCGACATCATCGATGCTCTCCTAAAATGAACACAATCAAAAGATTAATTTTACAATCGTTTAAAATCGAACAATCTTACAAAGCGATAAGAATAAAGCAAGCTAATAGATATTATATTTTAATAAATACCGCGACGAAGTACGATATACGCATTTCAAAACAAGAAACTCCTAACGAGTTTGTCTCTAACCTGCTGAGTAAATTAACTTTTACGACTGATTCCGAGACGTGTAATTATCATGTAACGTTGATCAGGACAAAAATAATTTCTAGTTATCTTATTTTTATTAAGATTGTTATTAATAATATGTTCCTCCAATCGATAAATTCATTGTAAATAGAAAAATTTGCGGACGTCTTTCCGTCATAAATGGAATTCTTTTGAAGATTTCGAAATTACAATTGAATTCGTGGTCGTTCGACGGAAAATGAATAAATAAAAAAAAGAAAAAAAAAACGGATCATTAACAAACGTATTTCTTTCGTTCTTTTCATTTTATTTTATTTTATTTTTTTTTTCTTCTTTTTTTATGTCGGTCCTTCCAGTTACGATAACCATAAAAGGTAAGGATTTACTTTTAAAAACGATCGAAAGGACAAAATTCCTTCTCTCTTTCCTTCTCTATCTATCTTTCCTCGCGAAGTAGCCCCAATGCTAAGCACGATCCAGATCCGATCGATAAGCCGCAAAAAAGCTCCTCGCGAATGCGCGATATAACGTTTTCATTATACGGCCTGCGTTCGGCATTCCTTCGACGATCCTCTCTCGCGATACGGAAGGAGAAAAGATCGTCGTGGTTTCTCCTTTCTTTCCTTTTTTTTTCTTCTTTTACTCTTTCTTCTCTTTTTTCTTTTTCCCTTTTTCTTTTCCTTGCTCCCTTCGTTTCTCTCTTTCTTTCTCTCTCTCTCTCTCTCTCTCTCTCTATCTATCTATCTCTCTCTCTCTCTCGGTCGTTCTCATCCAGTTTCCCGTAAAGAAGGATCGTCGGGATACAAGTCGAGAGAGCGTCACGGCACCGATTTTATATAGCGACTTTCATTGTTTCTCCTTTTTCAACGAGGATGTGAAGAGTTAAGAGAAAGAGAGAAAGAGAGAAAGAGAGAGAGAGAGAGAGAGAGAAATAGAGAAAGAGAGAGCTTGAATCAGATGTCGGACGTAAGGACTTGACTTTGCCGTATATTTATGGTTCGGCGTATCCTTCTCGCCGATTCAAAGCCTTTCTTCTTCTTGCGTTCTCCCTCTTTCTCCTCCTCCTCCTCCTTCTCCACCTTCTACTCCTTCTTCTCTTCTTCTTCTTCTTCTTCTTCTTCTTCTTCTTCTTCTTCGTCTTCGTCTTCGTCTTCGTCTTCGTCTTCGTCTTCGTCTTCGTCTTCGTCTTCTTCGTCTTCGTTTTCTTTTACTTCGCTTCTCCCGTACGTAAGAGGGCTTAATGGATGGCCCGAAATGCGGATACGCGAAACCTCTGTTCTCGCCGCTGTTTGCTTCCCTTTCTCTTTCTCTCTCTCTCTCTCTCTCTCTCTCTCTCTCTTTCTCTTTCTCTTTATCCATCCGTATTTCTTCCTCCTTCTTAGAGGAAAGAAGGGGTAGAATATAGGCATATCGTAGCTTTCAAATTCTCTTCGGGATGCTTGCGACAAAGAGAGAGAGAGAGAGAGAGAGAGAGAGAGAAAGAAAAAAGCTAGTAGAGCCTTTTTACTTATCGAACGAATCAACATTGGATATCGTACACCTTCGAACGGGGATCTTTCTTACGAAATGATTTTATAATTCTTCGTTTTGCATAAATTCAGGATCGTTTATAAAAAAAAAAAAAAAAAAAAAAAAAAAAATAAATAAATATTTATAAAATCTCATAAAATACTTGACATTTGACAAATGTATTTACTTAGTTAAATTAATATTTAATTGATAATAGAAAACAACGAGAACGTGACTAATGATCCGTAAAAAAAAAAAAAAAAGATTCCTCTTTAAACGTGATCAGTGAGTTTAAAATTTTTAATCTATTAGGAAACATAAGTAGTCCCTTTCTCGATCATATCGAATCGATCCGCTCGCTGGTAACTTCTTGTTTTTATGTGAAAGGAGAAACGCTATAAATTGAGGAAGCATGGTCGAAAGAACGATCTACGTTCAAAGATTTAATCCGTCCCTGAGTTAGAGTGTCCCTCTGAGAAAAAGAGAGACAAAGAGAGAGATAGAGAGAGAAAGACAGAGAGAAAGAGAGAGAGAGAGAGAGAGAGAAAAAAGAGAGAGAAAGAGAGAGAAGAGAGAAGAGAGACAAAGGAAAGAAGGAATGCATCGAGCGTGTTCATTCCACACGACGTGGCCGACGATATCCAACGAAAGATCAGCCGGAGATCGGCGGAGAAACTTGGAGACTGGGCTACAAAAGGAGTCTTCGTTTCTGAAACGAGACACTCTCTTTCTCTCTCTCTTTCTTTCTCTCTCTCTCTCTCTCTCTCCCTTTTTTCTCTCTTTTTTCTCTCTATCTCTATCTATCTATCTCTCCCTCTCTCTTTTTCTCTCTCTTTTGCTCTATTTGCTCGTGTGGCCTTTGGTACTCACCTAGTCTGCGGAATCCCGTATTTGATGCCAACGCCGACTCGCGGTAGCGCCTTGATCACCTTTTTCACCGTCGCCTGATCCGGGAACGCGAAAAGGATCGATGCTGTTGACAAAAAGGCGTTAAACCGAAGATTATAGTTGGGGCGGCATAGTTTCAACAGGCGGACGAATAGATCGGGACGAAATCTCTTCGTTGATGGTTTCTTCGAATATATATATATATATAGGATATTTATATTTTTTGATCTTCGTTATATCATCAATAAATTTTCTTAACCTTTACGATGATATATAATATCATTGATCGATATCGTTACAAAGTTATCTATAGGATAATATTACGACAGAAATATTTCTTGGAATAATATCATCCATCTTAACAAAAGTCAAAACATTTCAATCTTGTTGAATAAATATTTGAAATAAATTTTCCTCTTTCTATCTATGTTCTTAATACGATAAAGATATTAATGGTGCAAGCAAAATGTTAATCATATTGAGCAACATTTTACTTCATAAGAACATGCAAGAGGGACTAGAAGAGGGTTTCGTTTGAACCGTTTCGCTTGCGCCGGCCATCTCCCTCGGGAGTTCAAAGGGTAACGTTTTATTAGACAGTTACCATAAATACCTACTACTAATTTATGAGTCAGTGGATGTGCTAAAATAAGAGATAAAAGATGACTTTAATTAAGAGACAAAGAGAAGTTTAGAATGGAAGGGATGAAGTCACAAAAGGAAGCGAAGGTTAGACAAAACAAGTCTTATTGTACAATTAAATTTCGTTATACACTTGAAAAAAAAGAAAAATAAAAAATATGTAAATTTTCGAATTTCATCTAACATATCGAAAAAGATACGAAATTCCTCGTTTCTATTTCTACAAGTATTCATTAAAATTAACAAACCAAAACTATCGGTTAATTAATAACGAACTAGTTCCCTTCGCACTATCTTTGTCGGCATGATCGTGATTATATCCGTACGAATATCGAACGCATTCTCCATCAAGAAACTTAATCGGCCGAACGAATACGCAAATAATCGTTAGTTTAATGCGAGCCTACCTCGTCTCTCTCGCGCGTTAATTAATTACACCGTTGCTAAGGATCGTGTATATGAGGATCCAAGAACGAAAGGAGAGGAGGAATATAAAAAAAAAAAATAAAAATAAAAAATAAAAAAAAAGTATAAAAAAAAAGAATATATAAAAAAGAAAGACAAAATCCGACGCGAGATGTTCTCTTCGAGAAGACGATCACGACGAGATGGCGTGTCGCGAAGCTGTAATCGTACGTAATATTACATTTTATTTCTTTCTTTCTAGAATACGTGATTCCAAGCGTGCCGTTAAACGTTTCAAATCCATACCCTTACCGTAAGGGTAATACTCGATGTATAAAGTAACTTATTTTTTTTTTTTTTTTTTTTTTTTTATTATTCGACGATTTATCGCGAGATCCAACCAGAGGCACCCAGCATCTAACTCTTTTTCTTTTTCTTACCTCTTACCCTCTCATCCTCTCTTCCCCCTCTTTCTCGTCTTAACGAACGCGTCTTTCCAGTGATTTTTTAACGAACCACCGAGGTTTCCACCTCGCTAAGGATGACATTCCACCGCTTAAAGTTTCACGACGCATCGAAACTCCGAAAGATCAGATTAGAATCGGACGACACTCGAGAATTTATCTGCGCTCCGTAAAAATAATCAGCGGGGTAGTCCCAGCAGGATCGGCAGGTACAACACGACTCACCTACACTAAGTCTTTCTCTCTCTCTTTCTCTCTCACTCTCTCCTTCTCTCTCATTCTATCTCTTTCTCTTATTCTCAGTTAAATAGGTATTACGATCGCATTCAAAAAAAATTTTTTAATACTCGACTTATTTTTATTACTCGATCTCCTTTTCCTCCCAGAAATAGATTCGTTCGATCGATTGAACGTATTTAAAATAAAAATTAAAAAAAAAAAAAAAAAAAAAAAAAAAAGAAAAAATGATTTTTTCGTTTGGATCGTAAAGCAGGTGTGTTGTTAAATCGCCGAGAAATCTTCGAGCTTGTAATAAATCGATCTTAGAAAAAGACATACCACGAGGTCGGTAAGGATATTTATTGTGTAAAAACTGCGAAGGGGTCGCACACCTAACGGCGAGCCCAGAATTCCGTCGTCGGCACTCGTCGTGGGATTAGATCGCGTCGCGTGTGAAATAACGCAGAACGGACTCTGTAGGAGCAAGAAAAGGAATGTGCCTCTCTCTCGATTCCATTTCGGAGATCTCGTTGGACCCTGTTATATAGCGTTGAAAGTATAACAAAAGATAGGAAGGGGAAAAGAGGAAAGAGAGAAAAAGAAGAAAGAGTAAAAAAAAAAAAAAAAGAAAAAAATTATTCTCTGCTTCGAATACTCACTTCTGCTCGCGAGGAAGATCTCGATTGCTACGTTTTGTAGGAGATAACGACGAGAGAAGATAGCTCGGACCTCGGAGAAGTACCATTTTCCGTGTAGGTGGTCACAGTATTTCAATACCTAAAATATTATTAGAAAAAGATAAATCATTGATCATAATAAATATTCATTATATTAAATATTATCTTGTTTGGATGAAAGAACAAATATAAATAAAATTCACCTTTCTTCGATGTCATTTTCGACATGTAAAATATTTGAAAGATAACGGGTTTGTACTAACGAAAGAAACTTTGTCTTTCAATTTTGCTGTCGTATATCGATAATACGAATTAATCAATTATATTAATCGCTTTATATAAAATTTAATATACTGTGTTAAGATTAAACTTTGATCGTAAAGAAGTTGTCGTCGTAGTCCAAAAATTTTTATAATTGTATCAGATAGGTATACACTGATCTTTCGAAACCCAACCGGGTTCGTTAATCAATTTCAACGCAGGTGTATTATGAACGTATTAGAAAACGACGGTGAAAGAAATAAATTGTCCGTTTATTTAGTGCCTTCTTAAAGAGAATTCTATTAATTGTGATATGTTAAATTATCGCGATAGTGTACAGTGTAAGTATTACATGAAATATAAATCGAGCTGTATAGACCACCAATTTCCTGTATCTCCATATTATACTTTTATTTCAAATACAATTTTTTCCAAACAGTTAAAATAGTTATAGATATGTACTCTCGAGTATCATACAACAAATCATACAACAAATAAATATAAACGAGAGCTACAAAACTAATTATTATTCCTATTCCAAGATCAAATTACAAGGTCGATAGAAAATTTATATACGACAAAATAATAGTTTATTTTCGATACCAAAATGATTTATTATAAAACGATAAAATTAAATTTGCACCATTGATATTCTCTTGACGAGATTAATTTATTTTTCAGATAAATTCTGAATAAAATTAGGCTATTAAAAAAAAACAAAAAAATTATTTTTCTTCTAAATACATATTATCGATCTTGAAAAAAAAAACTTTTGATGATAAATGAATAAATTCTTTAATGAGAAATCCGTAAAATAAATAATTCAATTATTTCAAGGATTTTACGATAATAAAATTCAAAAGATTATTTTTGTGAATGACATTACAACGGGATGATATTAAGAAGGTAGGTAATATTTCGAAAAAAAAAAAAAAAAAAAAAAAAAGAAAAAGAAAAAAAAAATAAAAATATTCCAATGAGTATGCAACCGCATGACTGTAAGTATGTAACCTGGATGCAGTGAAGTGTGATGTGATATAATGAGACCAGTGCCGTTCGCAAGATGGCCGTCGTGGTAGGAGGAGCCTCCTGCTGAGTTGAGAATCGATCCCAGGACCTCGCGGACTTGCGCTCTTCGAACGAGTCGCGAACAACAACCCGTTGGCAAAAGGGAAAGAAAGAAACAGGGAAAGAGAAAGAGAGAGAGAGAGAGAGAGAAAGAGAGAGGGGGAGAAAGATAGATAGATAGATAGAGAGAGAGAGAGAAAGAGAGAAGGGAGACAAGAAGAAAGGGTGTGTGTGCGCGCGCAAGACTGAAAGAGCCTGTCCTCGAGGATCCCCAATTTACCGTTCCGTAATCTAACAGGCCCTTCCATTTTTCCCTTTTAACGAGGACGCATCGAAGATGCTCGAGATATCCTCGCGCCTTGCAAATCGAATTATTCTCAAGATAATCAGCTTACTTCGTTACTTCCTAATTAAGGATATTTTCTATCGTTGATTCTATCGTGAAAAAAAAAACAAAAAAGAAATAATGTCTCGTCTTATCGCATTTAAATCAATTTATTAATATTCATATAATAAATAAATATTTTGTCTCGAAGGTGTTAATGACGTTATACCGTTTCGAAAATTGTCATTCTTAATAAAGTTATTCATCGTTAATTTCAAGAACATTTTCTATCATTTTATAACTAAATTGGATATGCAAAACAAATAAATAATTTGCTCCAAGTCAATTTCTGAATACTAATTTCATCTCACGAAACGATGTCACATTATTCTTGAACTTAGAAAGTGTAAGGACACGAACGATAGGATGAAGTAATAGACGTCAAAACGAATCAACGAATCGTGAAAAAAAGGACATCCTTACATGTACTTGTGTGATCTTCAGTAGTCCGTCGGATACTAACGTAAAGACTACTAGCGATGACATTAGGGTGCTACACGTATTCCTAGCCCGTCAAAACTCAATTACGAGAATGTAAGCCATTTCGAATCTCTCATGGGACCATAAACGTCAGATCGATGTGAGAAGAGTAAATACTAGCCGAAACCAAATTATTGATTAACTGGTATGAGCGTATGTTTTGGATGATAAATAATTACGTAGAATAATTAATTATTTATTTTTCAAATGAATGAATTAATCTCACTAAATCAAAAAAATTTTATATCGTTAAATTATACATGCAAAAATAAAATAAATTATAGAAGAGATTTTATAATTATTGAAATTTCAATATTCATATAACTGAAGATGCAAAATGATCGAACGATGATAGTCAATCATTCTGTTTACTCATAGATCCTCGATTTGTAATATACACAAAGAACTATCAGAGTCCACCGATATCTTCCCGTAATGCGCAAGATTGGGATGGGGAGTGATCGAGAGTGAGGGTAGGTACAAATTCAACCCCTGAGAATGCGCGTGCGCGTTTTCAATGCATTGCAAACACTGGGAAAAATTGATAAGGACCGAATCGTGCCATGGCATTTATTATTTAGATACCTGAACTATGGGATATATAGATAAATCACGTAGGCGTTAGTAGGGAGAAAAACAGAGCCAAAAAAAAAAGAAAACAAAACAAAAAACGATAGTCATAAAGAACAAAGATCTTTTTTATGTGAATTCTAATTGACAATACTAATTAAAAATATTTCATTTCACTCGTTGAAAAATGTCAAGCGTGGCAAATGAGTTTAAGTCAATGACATGACAATAAACGAACTTAAAATAAGTTTAAATGTCTTTTTGAACATCAGTATAAAACTCACGAAATGGACATACGCATTTTTTATTGCTACGAAGAGAACGAAGCAATTAGATTTCTCATCTTTGTGACTTTACGTTCACGAGAAAGGAGAGCTGAGTGACGTCGAGATACGACGATGATTAATAAAATTTATCCTCGTACAAATATACCTATGTCAGGGTAATTCAAAGCGGACATGACGTTCCGCAATCTCGAGAGGGAGTAAGAAACATAACGCATGAATAAATATTGAATAAAATAGAAAATGAAAGATTTTAATTAGAAAATCTCAGAGTTTTTTATCCTGTGTCGTTATAGATTAACACGAATAATACCTATAAACGATAGAGGAAGATATAAATGTATCCGTAAATGAATGGATAAAAAAAAAAAAAGGAAAAAAGCCTATCGTTTGCGCATTCGAAAATGTAACCGTTCAAAAAGAGCTCGAAGCGTTTAAGAAAGAAGTTCCTTTTGAGGTGTCAAGTGGTACGCGATTAGTGCTCCCCATGTAGCAGCTCGTCTATCATCGAGCAAAACCATGCTTGGCTCAGCGGTACTCTGGTGCTCGCGCACGATGACAATGGGTGACGTGATGTAACAACATGTGTCACGTTCGCAAGAGACGTGGCCCCTTGCTGCTTCTCACTACAGCGCTTCTTTTTCTCTCTTTCTCTCTTTCTCTCTCTCTTTGCTCTCGCCTCTATGCACCACCATAGAAGACCCCATAGAATGGGGAACCACTTAGCAGTCCTCTACCGGTGTGTACAACAAACAGATTAAGTGCTGGACAATAATAGAGGGACCATACCCTATTCCCACCCCCTCTTACCCTTCTCGAACCGCTCTCTTTTCTTCTTTCGAGCACCCTCTCGATTTCTTCGAGTGCTAACTACTCGAAATCACGATACTCCCGTGTGGTCGGATATTGAAGCGATGATCTTTCTAAATGGAGTAACGTGTGATAAATAGTGTCTAAGGTATTGTTTAGATTTGGAAAAAAAAAATCTTTTTCCATTTCGTCATCCTATTGCAAATTTATTATGTTGTAAAGAATTTTTAATATTTCATTGCGAGCGAATTTTTATATAAATTTCTAAACTGTTAATCTTTGAAATTTTATATTTAAATGATTGAATTAAAATTAAATTAATTGATACAGTCGAAGAAAATCCTTCCTCCGGATATTAAATTTAGATTCAAAATGTGAAGGTTGATAGGCGCATCGTGACAAAAAGAAGTACAGAGTCGTTTACCTTGAAGAAACGAGCCAACTAATGCACAAAACATTCGGGAGCCATCGCGTCGATCTCAATGAAATATGTTTGCCACGTGCGTGTTCTCATACCTTTATTACCTTCTCGTTTCTCATTCGAGATAACGCATTACGCCATCCAAGAAATGAAAGAGACCAAATTTTATTAGTTCCAGAATATGATTGAAACGATACATTTTTTATCCCATTTTATTAATAAATAAAACGAATTATTATTTCGAATCGTAATAATTTTAAAGATTTTAGAAGTATGAACTTGTATATGTACTTGTTTATGTAATACCGATCGAATAAAGTAACAATCGTATTAACAATCCAAAAACAAAACAGCATATTTTCTATTTCGTTAATTCGTACCAGTTTTTCCGAGTTACCGTGAAATAAAATAAAATGGTAGATAATGCGATCTATTTCCGGCAACAGATGTATGGAAACCGTATGTTAATTCTAATAACGGGATAGGAAATAATATGGTTCGTAGGAGGTAATTATAAAACGATATATTTCAAAACAATTTACGAAATTCGAATATATACGGTAAGATGTAGGTATCTATCTACTTTTTTTTTTTCTTTTTTTTTTTTAAATAAAAAAATAACAAATAAAGTGTTATTTTATGATGAGATAAATTGAATACTTATGTGAAGGTTCGATCATTCGAGAAGTTTAGATAAGAAGAAATAATAAGAATCACGATACGCAAGGCAATTCGAGTGGATCAAGAGATCGCAATTTGTAAGGATTTCTTTTTTCGTATCATTTAACGGGCGTACCGTGAAATAAGTACTCCGAACATCA